TCTTGTGCACGAACGTTATTAATTCCCTGTACCCTGCTTTTGCTTCACTAGGTGGTCTCCAGTCGACGGTTGCCCATAAAATTTCTGACTTTTATATCCAGTCTTATTATGTAGATTTGAAACTGTTACAGCTATTCAATAGCTATAAAAGGTAGCAGCTTATTAGCAGTTCATGTCGTACATCTCCGTAAGTAAACACTTTTCATGCTAAGAATAGGAGTTAGATTAATCAACTTCACAATTTTCTTTGGAAATATTTGTATAAAATGGCCGAGTGCATCCACCTATATTGTCAGAATTAAAATATTTACAACACGTCCTGTTACGTTAGGGCGCAAAATGGAATTCCTTTTGATAAAACGCAGATAACCTTGTTACCAGTAGTGTAAGCAAACAGGCGTTATGCCATATGCATTTCAATAAATTTATGACTGCAAACGCAATTGCTTATTAAACCACGAGGCAACCTTCAATGATACATCGAACTTGCTGCGCTTTACTTGCGGATTTAATAATGCAAACATGTTCCTCGTACATACGACTATTATTAGCGAAAAGGAGAATCAGATTTCTTCATTTATCATTCATCTAATGGACATAATGTAAAGCATCTATCCTGTAATTATGACCAGTGGAAATTACACGGTTTTCGGCCGCACCTGCGTCGGACAAGGTGTGGAACATTCAACAGCTGAAGTGGTAAATATAGTACCTACCTAAATACGAAGGACGACATAAGAAAACGCTTCCATTTCATTATTGAACGTTTTGATAGAATTCAATGAGGAAGGGATATTTTCATTCGTTCTCATGCTCACAAACTAATTGAATGGTAATGTAGGATGTAATTTTTATGTAATTGAATGTGATTACTTGATTGCTAATATGTATATTTACCAGTGCCTAATAGTGGTTTAATGGTATAAAATTACACGAGATGAAAAACGTGAACGCGAACCGAAACCAGCTACGGGGGCTGTCTTTACAAACGGTAAAATCTCCTGCTCATCACTCAAGTTATTTGTGTTATGTTAGATACAGAATAAATAAGATTTACGAAAACAAAAACTGAGAAGGCTCAGTGTTGAATTTTCAGCATGGTGGCTTGCACTTCCTCGATGCTCCATGAGGTGGCCATTTGGTCATTCTCTTAATGCACAAGCTGGTAATCCGTCACCGTTTGCAGAGTATTTGCCTTGCACCCAAGTGGTAAGTGATAAAATGTTCGTTATAATTTTTTTTTGTAGAGTGCGAAGAATTCTTTTTTAGATTCCCCCGATAGGGAGTATGTGGAACTGAGCCATTTCGCCCTTACCCACTAAAACCATATCTCTCACGGCCGCCCCTTGGCTGTCTCAGGAACTACCTTTCGACATAACATCTAAAACAGTTAGGGCTCTTCAGTTACTCGGCTGCTATTCTGTCCCCTCTTGGATTCCTGTTATAAGTCGTCTTCTGGCTCAAGGTTACCTTAAAAGCACTGCCGTATACTGCACTACAACATCGACGAACTTCTCGATGAGCCTGAGTGTCCATCGCCCCTTTACATCATCCACCTTGTATGCCATTTTGACGCTATGTTTTTTTACTTCGTTTTTGAGATCGATTTCAGAGTTTCCAGGAATCCTACTAGATGTAATCCTTCTGGTCCCTCGGAATCGAGAAGGGCATCATAGATGATGTTCCAGAGCAACGGCGACAATGAGGATCCTTATGGAGCGCCTATTGTCATCTGTTCGCTCGAGGTCCAGTCTTCTGTATCATACAATAACTGCCGTCCATTCTGGTAGAGCTGAACGATTGCCCGTAGCCGTAGGTACTGAGGAATGCGCAGCATCCGCCGTAAGACCGCGAAATACCCTTCCATCTCAGGGAGTTGAAGGCGTTCCGATTAACGCGCAAAGCTCTTTTTTCGCTTCTCCTGGATGCCTTGCCGAGACTGCCACACGCAGAGTCTCTGATTGCGTCCACTCCTTTACGGGACCCCTACTGACGCCGCAAAAAGCCTCCTTCCGAGATTATGTGCTCTTTTAGCCCCGTACCTGCATGTAAAGCACACTTATATTGCGGGGGCTGTTCGTTTACGTAGTAAAACGAACATTTTGGTTTTTTTGATGGATTATGTTTAAATAATCTGTAACCAACCCTTAAACAACCCTTTATTAATAAATTTCCGTCTACTTTAGGTTTGCGAAATTTTCTAAGTCATTCATACCTGCATGTAAAGCACTCTTATTTTGCGGGGGTTGTTCCTTTACGTAGTACACCGAACATTTTTGTTTTTTTGATAGACTATGTTTAAATAATCTGTAACCAACCCTTAAACAACCCTTTATTAATAAATTTCCGTCTACTTTAGGTTTGCGAAATTTTTTGAGTCATTCATACCTGCATGTAAAGCACTCTTTCTTTGCGGGGGTTGTTCCTTTACGTAGTACACCGAACATTTGTTTTTTTGATAGATTATGTGTAAATATTCTGTAACCAACCCTTAAACAACCCTTTATTAATAAATTTCCGTCTACTTTAGGTTTGCGAAATTTTTTAAGTCATTCATACCTGCATGTAAAGCACTCTTATTTTGCGGGGGTTGTTCCTTTACGTAGTATACCGAACATTTTTGTTTTTTTGATAGATTATGTTTAAATAATCTGTAACCAACCCTTAAACAACCCTTTATTAATAAATTTCCGTCTACTTTAGGTTTGCCAAATTTTTTAATTCATTCATACCTGCATGTAAAGCATTCTTGTATTGCGGGGGTTGTTCCTTTACGTAGTACACCGAACATTTGTGTGTTTTTGATAGATTATGTTTAAATAATCTGTAACCAACCCTTAAACAACCCTTTATTAATAAATTTCCGTCTACTTTAGGTTTGCGAAATTTTTTCTCATTCATACCAGCATGTAAAGCACTCTTATGCTACGGGGGTGGTTACTTTACGTAATACACCGAACATTTTTGTTTATTTCATAGATTATGTTTAAATAATCTGTAACCAACCCTTAAACAACCCTTTATTAATAAATTTCCGTCTACTTTAGGTTTGCGAAATTTTTTCTCATTCATACCAGCATGTAAAGCACTCTTATACTGCGGGGATTGTTACTTTACGTAATACACCGAACATTTTTGTTTATTTGATAGATTATGTTTAAATAATCTGTAACCAACCCTTAAACACCCCTTTATTAATAAATTTCCGTCCACTTTAGGTTTGCGAAATTTTTTAAGTCATTCATACCAGCATGTAAAGCACTCTTATACTACGGGGGTGGTTACTTTACGTAATACACCGAACATTTTTGTTTATTTGATAGATTATGTTTAAATAATCTGTAACCAACCCTTAAACAACCCTTTATTAATAAATTTCCGTCTACTTTAGGTTTGCGAATTTTTTAAGTCATTCATATCAGCATGTAAAGCACTCTTATACTGCGGGGATTGTTACTTTACGTAGTACACCGAACATTTTTGTTTATTTGATAGATTATGTTTAAATAATCTGTAACCAACCCTTAAACAACCCTTTATTAATAAATTTCCGTCTACTTTAGGTTTGCGAATTTTTTCTCATTCATACCAGCATGTAAAGCACTCTTATACTACGGGGGTGGTTACTTTACGTAATACACCGAACATTTTTGTTTATTTCATAGATTATGTTTAAATAATCTGTAACCAACCCTTAAACAACCCTTTATTAATAAATTTCCGTCTACTTTAGGTTTGCGAATTTTTTTAAGTCATTCATACCAGCATGTAAAGCACTCTTATATTGCGGGAGTTGTAACTTTACGTAGTACAACGAACATTTTTGTTTCTTTGATAGATTATGTTTAAATAATCTGTAACCAACCCTTAAACAACCCTTTATTAATAAATCTCCGTCTGCTTTAGGTTTTCGAAATTTTTTAAGTCATTCATACCTGCTTGTAAAACACTCTTATATTGCGGGGGTTGTTCCTTTACGTAGTACACCGAACATTTTTGTTTCTTTGATAGATTATGTTTAAATAATCTGTAACCAACCCTTAAACAACCCCTTGCTAATAAATTTCAGTCCACTTTAGGTTTACGAAATTTTTTAAGTCATTCATATCAGCATGTAAAGCACTCTTATACTGCGGGGGTTGTTACTTTACGTAGTACACCGAACATTTTTGTTTCTTTGATAGATTATGTTTAAATCATCTGTAACCAACCCTTATACAACCCTTTAATAATAAATTTCCGTCTACTTTAAGTTTGCGAAATTTTTTGTCATTCATATCAGCATGTAAAGCACTCTTATACTACGGGGGTTGTTACTTTACATAGTATACGTGTAGTTGTTTAAATCATCTGTAACCAACCCTTATACAAACCTTTAATAATAAATTTCAGTCTGCTTTAAGTTTGAGAAAATTTTTAAGTCATTCATACCAGCATGTAAAGCACTCTCATATTGCGGGGGTTGTTACTTTACATAGTATACCGAACATTTTTGTTTCCTGGATAGATTATGTTTAAATAATCTGTAACCAACCCTTAAACAACCCTTTATTAATAAATTTCCGTCTACTTTAGGTTTGCGAAATTTCTTAAGTCGGGGGTTGTTACTTTACGTAGTATCTACACCGTTAATTTATAAATTGTAAAAAAAGACACAAGTCATGTAATTGTACAAATGATTAAACGAGGTCCATTCTTATATGACTTTCTGCGATTCCCAAATCTTCCACGTTTTTCTGATATCCTTTTTTCCTTGCACGTGGTAGCCACACTCAACCTCCTTGCACAGGCCGGAGGGCTAAGGACAGCAGCTGTCCCTTGGGCCGATCGAAGTCGGTCTCAATAAAACCAAAATAACACATCGGCAACAACATTCAACAATCGGTAAAGATAAAGGGTGCGTTTCTGCAGTGAAAATGTTCTTTCCCTGTTCCCCCATAGGGTTGAAAAAACGAAAACTACATGTCATGTATACAAAATTGAAAAGCCAAAACTTGATTAGTTAACGTTCATTTCAGGGATTCCACCGACCCGTGCGGTGATCGGTATGGCAATTTTCATGGTATGTTTCTTCAACTATATGCTGAGAGTCAACATGTCCATAAACCTAATCGCAATGGTCCAGCCCATTACCAACAACAACAAAACGCACATAGCCGAATGTCTGATAATAAATGGAAAGATGAATCAATCTGACGACTTCTCTCAATTGTCCGTTGTACCAGACGTAAGTGACGTGCCATCGATGTTAGGAAAGGCTAAGAGATCAGTTTCAGTACGGTGTACGGTACACGTGGACCTCAAAGCAGCAAGGGCTGATATTGGCGGCGTATTTTTGGGGATCAATTCTGACGTCGATACCGGGCGGATACCTGGCGGAGAGGTTTGGCCCGACGAAAACTATAGCCATTTCGAATATTGTTTCGGCGCTGGTTACATTTCTGACGCCGTTTGTCGCTGATTGGAGTTGGATTGCGGTTATTGCGTTTCGTTTTATACTGGGATTGATGGCGGTAATTCTAAATTAACGCGTAATTTGTGCTTTAATTGCAATTTTCTGAAGGGGGTCTGTTACCCGGCTCTCCATTGTATGGTGTCGCGGTGGGTCCCGCCCGACGAGAAAGGGAAATTTGGAGGCGCTCTTCTAGGAGGCACAATTGGAACGGTGGTCACGTGGCCACTGAGCGGATCGATTATAGAACATTTAGGTTGGAGCTGGGCCTTTTATATACAAGGGGGTTTGGTACTGGCATTTTCTTGCGTATGGCTGATTGCTGTTGCCGATTCTCCCGATACGCACCCACGGATTTCAAAGGAGGAAAAGTTTTATATAAATAAATGTTTAGGGGAGGGCGTTGGGAAAGTGAAGGTAAGCCGGAAATGATCGAGAGGTGAATGTAAACAGAAATGAATTGCAGGCAACTCCACCATATCTCAAAATCTTTGCTTCAATACCGTTTTGGGCGTTAGCAATTTTGCATTTCGGAAACCTTTGGGGACTGTACTTGCTGCTGACGGCCGGCCCGAAATATATGTCGGAGGTTCTCGGTTTTAATTTAGGCCATTCTGGCCTATTAGCTGCCTTACCTTATCTGGCACGTGCGATTTCTGGATTTGTCTTTGGGTTCGTCGGGGATGTGCTCAGGAAACATCAGTGCTTATCAGTAACAACTATTAGAAAGCTCTTTGTGACAACGTGTAAGGCGTACGTATTATTTGAGTACCATCTAATATTGCCTTCTTATAGCACACTTCCTGCCAGGAGTACTCTTACTTACAATTCTATGCGCCGGATGTAACATCACATTGTGTATAGCTCTAATCACACTTTCGCTGGGATTTAACGGCTCGTCCAGTATTACAAATATACAAAATAATCAGGATTTATCCCCCAACTTTGCGGGTACCATTTACGGGATAATCAACTGCATCGGGGGTACTACGGGTTTCTTTACACCCATGATCACCGGTTATCTGACCGCTGATCACGTACGTGGCAAGTTTTCGAATTCCTAGCCTAAAATTGTAATTTCAGAATGGCCTTAAAGAATGGCACATCATATTCGCAATAGGGGCATCTGTATACATTTCCACCGGAATTGTGTTCTGCATATTTGGTTCGGGTGACCAACAACCGTGGAATCAAATTGATACCAAACAAGTTGAAGGCGTCGACAATGCCGCATTCGACGGCGGAGCGTCGAAAGAAACTCAGACAACAGAAAACACTAAGGTTTAGTATCTGTGATGATAATTTTTAAGGTTTTGACTGAGCCTAATTTATTTAATTGTAATATTTTAAACGAAACATAATTATTTTATAGTCGCATTTCTAAGATTGTATAGTACCTACTTTATGTAAAAATCACAATAAATACCTATTTTGTAAGCAACCTTGGTTTTTTTATTGACAGAGGGATTATTTTAAACAACCATCAATATAGCGCAGGTAAAAAGTGTTATTTTCACAGATTATACAAGTCATTCAATCAAAATTACATTTAATGCCTCATTTGTATTAAGTAGCTTTAAATTACTAGGCGAGGATTGTTTATTGCCGGTTACTATCGCCACTCTAATATCCTGCCACCTACACAGTATGGGATGTAATTAAGTAATTTCTTAATTAACAACAATTGAGTGTAGCCAAAATTAGTGTTTTTATTCGCATGATTGCAAATAATAAAAATCCGATACAAAAACGTCCCTGAAGTGGGCAGGTCAAGGTATGAGCTCAAAAATTGTTTAATGTTGTTTTAGTTTCAGCTACTTGGACATGGTATATGTGAACATACTATAATCTAGATGGATATTTTCTTTAGATATATATTCTAGATATCTGGATTTTACCGGTCTTGAGATTGTAGATCGTGAAGAGAAAGCATTATCGCAGGGCAAGGATCTTATTTTATTAACGTATTACCATTGTAGGTGTATATACAATGGTATATACGGAACATCCTATGTATATTGCTGAAGGGTCTTCTTTGCAATTTGGACAGCTTTTTGGAGTACCAAGGTGTGGATTTTTCCCACAGACACGTATTACAATTTGACGCGGAATGCCCAAATCTATGGCAGTTAAAACACGTCATTGGAGCTGGAATGTATGGTCTTACGGTAAGGGGATAGGTACATTGTTGTTATTGTTTTACAGATAATATCTCTTTCAAAAGTCAAAACATGGCTAGCTGCATCTATCCTCATTACACCCCTTTTAGATTTAATTCGCCTGATTTCTGTAACAAATTTATGTTCAAGACCCTCTTGGATTTCTTGTAATGTGCAATTCAAAAAATCTGGACAGTACGCAACTCCTTTACAAGGATGAGATGTCACTTTTACCTCCACATCTGTCATTCTCTTTATATTGAGTCGTCTATTAGAGTGAGATTTTGATTTACATTCAACTAATAAAGAACCTCTTACCCTTTTAAGGTCACCAAGAACACCAAACAAAATTTTTTGAATCTTAATAAGCAAGAACCGGGGCCAAGGAACCTCCTTTTCTTACCTACCTTGACTCTGCCAGTGTTTATTTCATGCGCCGAAGCCTGGTCACCTACCATCGAATCCGAGCAGCCGCTTGATAATTTGGAGCAGGATAAATAAATGGGTAGGTAAGGCCTTTACTGCCCATTGATCGCGTTTTACGATCTTCAAGACGGGACTGTGTCAATTCTATCCCCGAACCGGGGGAAATGATATTGTTTACAAATATGGGGGTTTTGTAGCCAATTAGTATGTTGATGGAATGTCATTGCGGATGGTATGTCAGCCAGCAGACATCGAATTGAGTCCTCCTTTTCAACATCTCTAAACTATTCGTTGGCGCTTCGTTTTTCTTTGTCTGATAAAACCTCCATAAATAGCAATGGATCATCAGTTCAGAACAATAATGGTCCTCTGCAGTCAAAAAAGAGAAACTTTCTGAAATAATAGTTTGCACCTCCCCCTTAGATGTTAAGAAGCTTGCCGATAAGGTGAATCAAATTTTGTGTCACCCCCGTTTGGTGGTGGATCCTATAAGCTATTACCGTCTATCATGAAATTATAGTGGGGACTATCATGGGAATTGGGAGGATATATTAACTTTTTCAATCTTTGAACGAAGGCCGACTGTCTACACCCAAATATTCATTCATCACCCTCGACTTCAGCGGAAACCTAGGAAAAAGGTGTTGAAGGGGTTTGATTACCCGTGGAAGGTACATCATATCGTCCCGATCTCCATTGGTCCTTTATTGTATTAAAATCCTACTGGCAACCTGAATACGTCTGTCACCCAGGCTTTTCCAATAGTTGCCATACTGTATAAATGGCCTACAGTTTCTAAACAATTAATTAATTTCTTTCGATCTTCTATAGTAGGGTAGAATTTGAATTTGATAAATTTAGTTAACAGTATACAGGGAATTTTTTAATGTATACATATGGGCTTGTATACAGTATACTAAAAAAACGGATCAAATGCGTGGAATAGACCAACTCTACACTCCAGTTTATCGCGTGTAATGTTGGTTGCCTACACCCATCTATTACATGCCGTGCTACTATGTATCAAGATTCCTCATGCATTTGATCCGTTTTTAGCGCATTTTTGGTAACAAAAAGGAGCTTATCATTTCACTTTGTCCGGCTGGCTGGCTGGCTGGCTGGCTGGGCGGATTGAAAAACTTTTGATCTAGACATCGTAGAGAGGTCCGGTTTTTTGCATTACCTCCGTCTTGTCGAGTTATTGGCGCAATGGACATTCATTAAGCCCGTAGTGGTTGCGTTTAATTAGAATTTGCGAAATAACTAACGCCGCTTGAAAACTGGTTTGTCCTAGGGGCGAAATTAACGACCTTTTTCAAGGCGCGCGCGCGCGTCTTCGAGAGGTAGTAAACTTCGGGCGCCTTTTACCTTCCGTTGCGAATTTTGTCACGCGGTTTAACGTTTTGTAAATCTCGAATCGCTGTCTCTCTTTCTCGTGTCGCCAATAGAAGCTCGAGTAATAAGAAGTGCCCCAAAAATTAAGTACCTACTATCTTGTGGAAGGTTTTTAGCGAAATTCACCAAAATGTGGGTGTAATATAAGTATGCACCGAAAGAGGTAATGTGATAGCCTCCGACAAAATCTAAGTGATGGTGGAGTGAAAACTTCAAACGCGAATTTGGGGTGAACGGGGCGTCGGATGTGGGTACCGTCAAAGGGAATGTGGTAGCCCCGGACACGATCTTCCTGATAGTGGAGTCAATCTTCAAACGCGAATTGCGGGTGAACGGGACGTCGGAAGTGGGTACCGTCAAAGGGAATGTGGTAGCCCCCGACACGATCTTCCTGATAGTGGAGTCAAATCTTCAAACGCGAATTGCGGGTGAACGGGACGTCGGAAGTGGGTACCGTCAAAGGGAATGTGGTAGCCCCCGACACGATCTTACTGATGGTGGAGTCAAATCTTCAAACGCGCATTGGAAGGGAACGGGACATCGGAAGTGGATACCGACAAAGGGAATATGGTAGCCCCCGACAAGATTTTACTGATGGTGGAGTCAAAACTTTAAACGCTAATTGCGGGTGCACGCGGAAAGTGGGAAGCGGGTGCCGACAAAGTGAATGTAGTAGCCTTGGACAAGATCTTTTATTGATGGTTGAGTCAAAAGTGGCTAATTGAATACTGATCTGCCACACAAAAATGCGCTGAAGTCCCTTCGTCACACGAGGACTTTGATAATTTTTTTAAAGTATACATAGCCCGTATGTATACATTTAAGGAAAATGTCCTGCATGTATTATGCGTAAGATTAGTTTAGTATAATAAGCAAAAGATTCGACAATTACGACTCATGACGTTGATAATATAAAGAAAGCATTATGCATTCGCCCTCTGAAAGCAGCCACGTACGTTAGTAGCGTGCGATTATAGCGCTTTATATAGCAATTAGCGCTATTTTAAAAACTGGTTGGTCTGATAGTTAAGGGTTAATGAATTATAAAAGTGAGTGAAAGAAAAGAAATTCAGTGCCAATATACTTCGCCCAAAAATAGTAACGTGGTAATAAAGAAAAAGCACTTCGGACGTTGGGAAATGAACATTTGAATAATCCAGCGCTTTATTTTTACCCGCCTTGGGTTCTTTTTTACGGGACAGTTTTAAATTCGTCTTTTTGGAGAAATTCTACCAAAAAGATATCAAGCATAATTGAGGAAAAACCCAGAGTCCCAAAACGACTATGTGACGTCCGAATTTACCTACGTCGATTGACAATTTAGAGTAGCGTTCGCTATGGCACGTATAGAACACATCCACGTCTAAAAGTGCATGCATTTCATTTATGGAGAAAAACACAAGTTACGCCAATGGCAAAATTTTACCGCGAAGTTTGGAGCGAGCGCGCGCGCGCGTCGTGCTTATCAGAGTAGCGAATAGCGATCCGTTGATGGTTTGTGATAGCGATGTATTTGTGGAGGCGGCAGAATAAGTGTGGTATGCAGAGTGTGCGTTTGTTTCGTAAATCTAGGTAAATGTATCCTTTATTTTCTACTTTGTATTTGTTGTAATTAGCATAGGATGTAAGTGTTGTTGTTTTGCATTACTTGCCTGTAGATTTAATAGATTTTGTAGCTCGCATAAATTACGTTTCTATAGGAATTGTGCAATTGCATTAATGCTGTGGGAAATTTCCATGTAGCTTACCTAATGTTAGCATATCTCCATGTTAAGGGGAAGTTTAGGATTAGTACAGGGTGTTAATACAATTTAGGGCGTATTATAGTTGCGTTATAGGGGAATTTTCCATAGGTGTGGGTGATTTTCAATTGAGATTCATATACAGAGTGGTTACTAGTTAGATAGTTTAGGGTCTTTGAGAAATTTTGGTGAAGGTAATTTCAAAATTCAAGTACGATTTTTAAAAGTCAGTTAGATGTTTGTTATATACTATGGTTCGGAGGTTTTTGTTTATTTTATGTGGGGGCGTTTGCAGTGGTATTTCGCTGCCATCTTATTTTGAACACTCGTTTGAACATGTACTGATACTGTAGTGCAGGGGTTAAGAGCCAAAATAGGTTTCAACCTTGCATTTTGTGATAAACTTTATGAAACTTTCAGAGGATGTTCTAGACACCCTAAGGTTCAATTTCAGCTATGCCGCCACCCCCGCAACCACGGACGGCACTTGCTATAGTGAGTTTCTTAAGCGCAGGGTAGCATTTCAATACCCGCCCATAAAATGGGTCAAAAATGTATGTCCAGCGTTTGTTTTGTATTTTCTTACATCTAGGAAGGTTCAAGAAAATTGTCAAATAACCAGGGAGAATTTATTTAGGGTATTTTACGTGGTTTGCCTATTTTTAAGGCGCTTTTAACAGTGCGGACTAGGGAATGCAATCCCGCAGCAAAATCTCAATCCCGGTATTTGCGGGATTGTTGGTTGTTAATCCCGCGGGATCCCGGTATTTGCGGGATCTCGCAAAACTTTAAATAAATTGGCAAATAAACAATTCTGTGCGGTTAACTTCTGTATTAAAATAAATCGCTAATTATCACAATATTTAACAAAAAAGTACCTTCGGCCTAACTTAGAACTCAAAAAAACCTTACCTGTAAAGCACAAAAAGTCTTCTAAAGTGCCTCAAAAATCATAGTACATTTTTAACGAAAAATGTTTAACAATTATTAAAAAAATAATTCGCCGTTATCAGTTTCATTATCAAAGTAAACAGAGTGGTCCCCTTGGCCGACAAATTCCTCAGTCCCGCAAATCCCTCGATTTATGTGCGGGATTAATCTGGCAAAAATGCAAGGGATATACATTTTTGACCCATTTTATGGGCGGGTATTGAAATGCTACCTTGCACTTAAGAAACCCGCTATAGCAAGTGCCGTCCGGGTTTGCGGGGCTGGCGGCGTAGCTGAAATTGATCCTTAAGGTGTCTAGGTGTCTGAAAGTTTCATAAAGTTATCACAAAATGCAAGGTTGAAACCTATAACCCCCTCACTACTGTTCATGACTCCTGAATATTTAAATTTTTATATTATATTGAAATACTGAACATTCTTCTATATTATCACAGGGAAACAATCCTGGCCAAAATGGCAGACACCTGAGCTCTAGTCATATTCTTCGTAACGTGAGTCCTTGATGTCCGTTACATAACAATAGTAATAAACATTAATTTCCGTGAAAGACGGTGGCACAATATTTTAAATATCGGTGTAAAATTATAATTACGAGAGAAATGAAACTCCCGAGGGAGATAGAATGCTTCAATATTGGCATGTGGTTCGGAAAGCCGAGTTGAAAATCATTTAACTTCAAATTGGACAAGAAAAGGCCCTAGAGCTATCTAGCGTGATTAAGAAGGGCAACCCTGATTTGTATTTAATTAAATTTCAAAACCCCCGCATCGTCGAGCAACTCGTTTTACAAGACAACTATGACGATCACGTGCCTTGAGTTTCAGTTGGTTTTGGTGGGAGTTTTGATTTTTGTTTTGAGTTGCGCAATCGGTTCTGGGCTGGACTTGTGTTATTATACAGTATGTAATATACTGTTTTGTAATTAACAATTTCTTCTTCAGTAATAGAGATCGTGGATACATCCGTAACTGAGCAGTTTTGATAGAAAGTAGACTGTACGGGCGAGGAATTAACGACGGAGTGGCTGCAATAGCCGAATATGTAATGGTATTTGTCATATTCCCTGGTAAAATTACGCTACTTTAATTATTTTAAGAGATAGGTAAGTACAATATACAAACTATCAAGAAATATTACAAGACTATGGTCTTGCCTCTAAAATTCATAGAAAATCGACTGATGTAAGTGAGAAAAACTACGCAACTTTGATATATTAAGAGCTACAGTGGAAAATTACCACAAAATATAGTACAGATTACAGTCTTACTTCCAAAATTAATAGAAAATAAGTTCGTCTTAGATCGATTGAAAAATGAATGAATGAGTTATGTGACTTACATAGCAATTAAGTGTATAGGGTGGACGAAATTTCGATCATTTTAAGCACTTAATTCGTCTCTGTATGTAATAGCATAGAGCAAAGGAGGTGTTTACTCTATGGTAATAGTACTAATGAATTTGAATTATGCCCTTTAATCTTAATCATTATTAATCACTGATAACCCCATGAACGTTGCGAGTTTATAGCGGTAAAGCCGATCCTGTTATGTTATTTTTCAATTCAGTGTAACAATTACACAAGTACCTACATCAATTTAGACTTATTCATTGATTTAGACAATTGACGATTAGTGTGAAAATAAAAGCAAAATGGCTGAAATTGATGGGAATAATGTATTGGTGCGAAGCCTAAAAGAACAAGTAAGCATAATTTACACTTATTTTTAATAATATTTTTTTCTCTTTCTCATTTTGCACACTTATTTATAAGTGAATAGGATTATCACATACGACTATTCGAGTATTTAAAGTGGCAGTCTAAAGGTTACAATTCTGTTGCCATGTTTTTTTAAGTACTTTAGTAGATCTCTGTTTTATCTAAACTCAAACACTTGAGACAGAACCGTACTGAGTGTTCATTTAAAATAGTATATTGTGTGCAAATTGCGAAGAAGACTTACTCAATAACTAATGTTATTTATTATTCAGTGTTATTATTTAAATTGTTGCAAAAATATTTTCAAATAAATATTTAACAATTTTAAATAGTATATTAAGATACAAGTGTATAATCAAGTCTTTAAAGCACGCGCAACGAGTTTAAGGACACGACGCAAAGCGGAGTGCCTTTAACGTTGCAAGTGCTTTAAAGACCAATTATACACGTGTATCTTATAGTATTTTTTATTATACCTGCAGTATAATTTAAAAATAGGAAATACAATGAAGTAATATTGACGTTATACTCGAATACATGTCTAATTAAGTGGGCTGGGTGTTCGTAATTTCACGATTGCCATGGAAATGTCACTTGACGTTTGCTATAAAAATCATCGTCTTTGTGAATTAAACGATTTCCGTTGAAAAAGATAATACACCGTCCATTAAATCGATTGTTGTAAAATCTAAACAAACGTTGGTAGGTGTAAAATCCAACTACAGTAAAGCCTATTATAAAGAATATGAATAGTTGTTTCCATGGATGAATAGGAAGTTACTTACGAATACAGTCTTAAATGCATCCATAATGCTGGCATATATGAAGGAAATGTCAAAGGTATTTAAATCTCCTATATTTTGGTGCATTCACTCAAAACTTTAAAGCAATGCTGCGATTAAAAAGTGGAACAGATTTGGAAGCATACCCTAAATTACGAACGGTTGTGAAAGTTTCAACCAAAGGATAGGTACAAAAGCCAAAGAAATGTTCTGCATTTACAGAAAGCGACCTAAGAGGATTTTTTATTTCATCCAGATGACAGTTTCAAAAGTCATACTTGAAGTATCGTTACTTAGCAACTTTAAAGCACGTGTGTTTTAAAGGCCCTTTTTCGCACGCATTTGAGTGTTTAAAACGGAGATTGTGATTCAGGTATAATAAAAAAGATAGATCTGTTCGTTTCCAATGCTCCACCCTTCATTTATACCTCGATTTATACAATAATTTAGCACGCGGTAGATCTTCGGGTTGACAATACTCAATCTATGATAATTTCAATTTTTATCCTGACAGGGAGTGGAGTACGTTTTTGGCATTACCGGTTTTCCAGTAATCGAACTGAGTATGGCATTTCAAGTGCATGGAATTCATTATATCGGCATGCGCAACGAACAAGCGGCGTGCTACGCCGCACAAGCAATGGGCTATCTAACGGGCAAACCTGCTGCCTGTATGGTCGTTTCTGGACCGGGCCTCTTACACTGCACGGCCGGAATGGCAAATGCGCAAATTAACTGCTGGCCTCTCTTGGTAATCGGCGGTTCAACGGCGCAAGACCATGTCGGAATTGGAGGTTTTCAAGAGTGCAACCAGGTCGAACTATCACGCCCTTATTGTAAATATTCCGCTCAGCCGGCCAGCGTTGACTTAATTCCCCAGCACGTAGAGAGCGCCGTACGTTTGGCAAAATGTGGCCGACCCGGTGTTTCCTACTTAGATTTTCCAGCAAATTTACTTCAAAAAACAGTTTTGGAAGAGACAATTCCGAAGCAATACGTGGTCGACAACTATCCGCTTACGTTTCCCGATCCGAAAGACATTCACGACGCCGCTAAATTAATTTCAAATGCGAAAAGGCCGCTAGTAATAATCGGTAAAGGAGCTGCGTATGCTAGAGCTGAAGGTGACGTTCAAGAGTTAATCTCCGTCACTAACCTTCCGATTTTGGCAACTCCAATGGGAAAGGGCGTCGTATCAGATCTTTCACCCAACAGCGTGGCACCCGCTCGCTCTTTGGCACTATCGCAAGCAGACGTTGTACTGTTGTTGGGTGCACGACTTAACTGGATATTACACTTCGGAAGATCCCCACGGTATGCGTCCAACGTTAAAGTTATTCAAATCGACGTGTGCGCTGAAGAGTTGCACAATAGCGTTAAATCGGCGGTAGCAATACAAAGCGACTTAAAACCAGCAGTACGCCAATTAACTGCCGCGTTAAGGCAGAACGGTTATCAGTTTCACAATACATCTGAGTGGTGGGCGACATTAAAAAAGAAATGTTTGCAGAACGAAACAGGTGTAAAAGTAAGTGTTATTGACATTTACGACTTTATTGTCAAGTTGTTATTTAGGCACTTGTACAAGACACGTCAGCTCCATTAAATTACTACACTGTCTTTCACCACTTGCAAGAGATCTTACCACCAGACTGTATAATCGTAAGTGAAGGTGCCAATACTATGGATATTGGTCGATCCATGCTTCCAAATGCACTACCACGCCATAGGCTTGATGCGGGAACTTTTGGAACTATGGGGGTTTGTTATTTTTCGCAGTTTGCACCGTTTGACGCAGTAATTTTTAGGTAGGACCTGGGTTTGCAATTGCTGCCGCTTTGTGGTGTCGCCAGCACGCACCTGACAAGCGAGTAGTTTGCGTAGAAGGCGACTCTGCTTTCGGCTTTTCAGGAATGGAAATTGAAACGATGGTCAGATACCGACTGCCTGTTCTTATAGTCATCGTTAACAATTCCGGAATTTATAGCGGTCTCGATCAGGACACGTACAAGGACCTGCGAGATGTTAACCCCGCTACGCAATCGTAAATTCTTCCCGGTCGCGAACACTTAATCTAAACTTATTCTTCCAGGCTTCCACCTACCAGCCTCTCTTTTGCTACCAAATATGAAAATATGATGTGCCTTTTTGGCAGGAACGGTTATTTCTGTCAAACGATTCCCGAGATGCAAAACGCCGTTAAGGAGTCTTTCAATGTTACCGATGGCCCTAGCATTGTAAATGTTATTATTAGCCCTTCAGCTGATCGCAAACCGCAGCAATTTAATTGGCTTACGAGCTCAAAATTGTAATTTCCAAAGCTTTGTAAACTATTTTTGTAATTATTATTATGACTTAATATGTATTCTGTGAACGGAGTGAGTCAAGAATCAAGTTACAACCTTATCGCGTTAGCGTATCTACTAGTTTCATGATTTCGTTTGCCTGAAGGGCGTCTTGAATTTGGTTAGATTGTCTAGAGTCGGAAAACTGACTACCAACTTGCCGCTAGTTGATTTATTCTGGAAGCTCAGGTCGATTTAGTTACTATTTAAACGGAGCAAAGCATTCCATACTATGGGAGAAGAACTCCCCAGGGCAAGTACGAATGGAAAAACCTTGACATTTCACAAAGGTAGGATGGAGATGGATAATAATAATAATAGTCTTTATTAAAATAAACTACAACATAAGTATACAATAGAAATGAAAATTAATGTATGAGACGTACTCATGGTCATTATGACCGCCTGAGGGGTTGATGTTGCCTTATTAATTTTATAAAAAGAAAAAAGAAGCACAACTCTACAACAAAATAATTATTCATATTTCATTTAAATTTAAATTTAATCCCAGCCGGATTGGAGATATCTTCGCGTTTTTTTAAACATGGTCAAAATGGGTAGATTCTTCGTACCTTGGCGAAGGTTTCACTCACGTGCTTAATCGCAGAACGTGCAAGAACTCGAGGCGTATAGTTGCAGTAGGCCCCTATCTGTCTGCTCCTGGTGTTTGACTCGAACTTAGAATGCCTTTTCGGCTTCGCTGAGGAATTCCGGTGTAATTCCAGTTGGGGGATAGATGCGCTATTTGTTAGAGGGTTCTCCGATAACACGGAAGTTGTCTTTGTTGAGCTTGTGAATCAAGTCGTACTATTGAAAAATATCATTGAAAATTGCGTCTGCGACCCGGAGGTACATAGCTGGTTGGAGATGATATTCTCTCTAAGATTAATTTTCGTTCTTCCGGAAACATCTTATTGGATGTTTAGACTATAAACACTTTCTATAGTGTGCTGAATGGTATAAATACGTAACTCAGCGCTAAATCGAGCGAATCGTGCTTCGAGCAGCCTTTCTGGGCACAGCAACTTCAAAAACCACTTCCATTTTCCACCCCAGATCGTAATTAGGTTAGCCCCGTCGCGCCGGAGCGATGTGTACGGTGCTTGATCGCAACGCAGCCATTAAGAGGAGACGTACCCCCGGCGGTTTCATAGCAGGAAGAGCAGGCACCCTCGTGGCCACCGCAGGCGCCACACCGATGGAAGCCTCCGACACCATAAAATCACTCCCTTCATCCATCCACCAAATGCCAGCCAAACTCGATATGACCGAATCGCATTCACTACCTCTTATCTTTATCCGTACTCATCAGCTTCGCCTGCAACATCTCAGCCATCTATACCATCAGCTAAAGTAACAGAATTCCGTAGCAGCCATCCGGTAGTGCAGTGTTTCGACTGCCAACGATTCGGTCACTCCAGCCTCAACTGTGGATATGCTCCGAGAAGTGTCCCTCCACCCAGAGTTGGAAACAGAAGACGTATCGTCCCGTTATCCACCCGCCGCAGCCTCTACAAGCACCCTTATCGCAGATGTACGACAATGAGCAGCACGTCTTGAACGTCTCGGCCTACCAAATCCACCTAGATCGTGTGGTTGGGTTGATTGTGAAGATTTAAGAAGCCTTCCAGGCCGGAAGGATCATTATCCCGCTACTGATAGTGGCATACGGAGACATTGTAACCTTCGATGGACAATAGACCCACGTACAGCACCCAAGACCCAACTTCACCGTCTTGCATTGGAATGCCGATGGTGTATGTAATAAGCTAGTCACCCTCAAACATCTGTTAGCACAACACGTCATCAACACCGCGGATATTGGCGAAACCCATCCAGTCGGTCCCAAAGAGTTGACGCTCCTAAACCACCACACTTACCGTACTGATCTGCAAGTTGAGCGCCCGCCGCCGTCTGGAGGGACGGGGCTATTAGTGCACTGCTGAATAGTGCCAGCACAAGTTAACCTATCTCCCACTACCTAGATCGAAGCCACCGGCGTACAAATTAAACTAGGCGGCAACACGACAAACATAATCGCCCTGTAAACTGGAAGAACCCCAGCATACGCAATATTGCAGAGCTGGACGACTGCGTCCAACTCATAACTAATGCTCTCCAGAACGCCATCACCACAGCTACCAGAGAACTCTCTGACAGAAGCAGAAGAAAACTTTCGACCTATCTTCTTGATGAGTTCAAAGTCCGCTCAAGGCGCGACGGCCGAAAATACGACAACCAGGAAACGCCGGAATATTAGCTAACGCGCTACACAAAAACTTTACACCGCATCCAGGGACGGACGTCCACCACATTCGATCGGTAAAAACAGAACGCCGTAGAATCATAACGCTGCCTATACGGTTAACATCTCCGGCCGAAATTAGGGATATAATTCCCGGACAGAACCCGTGTAAGGTCCCGGGACACGATGATATCACCTACAAGGCTCTGCAAAATATCTAGCCTGCATGACCCGCTTATTCGACTCCGTCATCATACTGAAGCATTTTCCGTTCGTATAGAAGCAAAATCCAAAGAATATCCTCATCCATCCAAGCAACTACCACCCCACCTCCCTGCTTTCTGTCCTGGACAAAATAATCGAGAGGATACCTACTTCTAGTTCGCTGCAGCCTCAACTTAACATCCGACTTGAGCAGTTTGAGTTTCGAAAAATCACTCCACGACCCAACATATCATTGGGATTTAATTCAACTGATCGACCACTACCCAACTGACCGTACCTTCAAAGACAGAGTAAGTACGAAGCTATCAGACCATCCAGAGAGAGGAGTAACGCAGGATAACTGCCTGTCCCCGATCACTTTCCAACATCTTTATCAACGATGTTCCAGCCGAACCTGACTTCAAAATAGTGTTGTACGCCGACGACCTCCTGATCCAAGGCAATGACAGGCTTTCAAACATTGACATACGAAGGATGCAGGCATCCATCGATAACATATTCAAATGGGCTAGCCGCAACCCACATAAAGCCAAAGGCTGTGGTGATATTTACAGACAAATAAACCCATAAAGAGCGTTTAAAAAAGCGGCAGAGCACCTCGGTGTGACCCTACGGGGTCATTGCATTTGACCCATTTTCAATGGACTAGTTACATGTGGCATATAAGTCTACTGTGAAAAGTTTCAACCGAATAGGTTCAAGCGTTTGGCAGGAACAGAGAAGCGTGACCCCACGAGGTCATTGGATTTGACCCATTTTGAATAGGCTTATTACATGTGGCATATAGGTCAACTGTGCAAAGTTTGAACTAAATAAGTTCAAGCGTTTGGCAGAAACAGAGAGGCGTGACCCCAAGGGGTCATTAGATTTGAGCCATTTTCAATAGGCTTATTACTTGTGGCAATTAGGTCAGCTGTGCAAAGTTTAAACCAAATCGGTCCAAGCGTTTGACAATTATTGTGTTCATGGACAGACGAACACCATCTACTCCCCTATAAAGCTTGCATCGCTCTGCTCTGCCGCTTAATAATAATTCTACCAGCAGTTAAGTGTCGCGGGTCAACAAACCGAATCTCCCTCCCTACAGGACGTCGCGTCCGAACACTCATGACGTACGCTTCCGCAGGCTGGAAGTCGGACGTCGGTGAAACCGACGCCCAAAAGATGGAAACGATGCAGTCCATCGCTTTACGAACTATTTTCAGGGCAGATAGGTTCGTAAGGAACGAAGACATCCGGCAGCTCCTGAAAACATTCACAATAGCCGACCACATCCGCTCGCTGGCTGAGAAGGTGTCAGAGAAGCTTGACAACTCCGTAAATGCATCCACTTCAGTTTCACCAACCGCGTTATCCTGGGTGACGCCGTCGGTTGGATTCCTTGCTTAAAAAACTCAACCTGTGACCGGAGTGTCTGGAATCGGAAAGCGCATCGCTCCAAGAGCAAACGCATACCCTTCTAACCCCCATGGAGTAACAAGATCATCGTATCTTCGTATCGTGTCTCCGTATCGTAGCCTTGACATGATACGGTGCAACAGCCTACATAACTCAACTCCAGACCTTTCCCGAAAAAATTAGTTACTCCGGATAAATTCGTTTTCAGATAGTTAACCCAAATGACGACAAGCCAAGCACCTGATTGTTAAAATTTTGGAAAAATCCGCCTGTAACTAAGAAAGCTCTATAACATTTGATCAACTAGTCCGATTTTCAATTTTCTGGGCGATTTGGGTTCTACATTCCAGAATCGCCTTTGTAGCGCAGGGGTTAAAAGCCAAAATAGGTTTCAACCTTGCATTTTGTGATAACTTTATGAAACTTTCAGCTATGCCGCCACCCCCGCATCCCCGGACGGCACTTGCTATAGCGGGTTTCTAAGCGCAAGGTAGCATTTCAATACCCGCCCATAAAAGGGGTCAAAAATGTATGTCCAGGGTTTGTTTTGTATTTTCTTACATCTAGGAAGGTTGAAGGGAATTGTCAAATACCCAGGGAGAATTTATTTAGGGTATTTTACGTGGTTTGCCTATTTTTAAGGCGCTTTTAACAGTGCGGACTAGGGAATGCAATCCCGCAGCAAAATCTCAATCCCGGTATTTGCGGGATTGTTAGATGTTAATCCCACGGGATCCCGGAATTTGCGGGATCTTGCAAAACTTTAAATAAATTGGCAAATAAGCAATTCTGTGCGGTTAACTTCTCTATTAAAATAAATCGCTAATTATCACAATATTTAACAAAAAAGTACCTTCGGCCTAACTTAGAACTCAAAAAAACCTTACCTGTAAAGCACAAAAATTCTTCTAAAGTGCCTCAAAAATCATAGTACATTTTTAACAAAAAAAGTTTAACAATTATTTAAAAAATAATTCGCCGTTATCAGTTTCATTAACAAAGTAAACAGAGTCGTCCCCTTGGTCAACAAATTCCTCAGTCCCGCAAATCCCGCGGGATCCCACTCCATTTATGTGCGGGATTAATCTTGCAAAAATGCTGCGGGATCCCGGTATTTCGGGATCCTGCAATCCCGGTATTGCGTTCCCTAGTGCGGAGTGACGGGGAACTCTTTTGGCTGCTCTATTGAATATTATACTATGCTCTAAAGTATTTATTGAGACATTACAATGCTGAAAGGAAAGTTAACAATATCTACGGCACTAAAATTATTGAGCCCTATCTTGAGAACACTCGCCTCCGCAGTCGCACAATTCGGTGCAGGTCACATCGGACTTGACAAAGCTGCATCTTTGTGTGCAACCTTTCTTACATCCACATTTTACTAAGATTACAAAAGCTTCTGGAACTGGAGGTTTTAAAGTCCAGACAGGCTCCCATTCTTGATCTTCACTCGAGTTTCTCCAACCCCAATCACATGGATCCGGAAGTTGCTGTTGCGCCAGGAGGCAATGTCCCCATACATGTCCTGCGAATGTATGTAGATTAAGTTTGTTTGTTGAATATGGATTCAATTGTAAATTCATCTATTCGCCTACTTACCGCCTCTCTTAAGAAAGGTTGCACACAAAGATGCAGCTGTGCCAAGTCCGACATGCCCTGCACCGAATTGTGCGACTGCGGAGGCGAGTGTTCTCAAGATAGGGTTCAATAATTTTAGTGCCGTAGTTATCGTTAACTTTCCTTTCAGCATTGTAAAGTCTCAATAAATACTTTAGAGCATAGTTAAATATATAATATTCGATAGAGCAGCCAAAAGAGGTCTCCGTCACGATTTTACTGCCCGCACTGTTAAAAGCGCCTTAAAAATAGGTAAACCACGTAAAATACCCTACATAAATTCTCCCTGGGTATTTGACAATAATCTTCAACCTTCCTAGATGTAAGAAAGTACAAAACAAACTCTGGATATACATTTTTGACTCATTTTATGTGCGGGTACTGAAATGCTACCTTGCACTTAAGAAACCCGCTATAGCAAGGGCCGTCCGGGGTTGCGGGGGTGGCGGCATAGCTGAAATTGAACCTTAGGGTGTCTAGAACATCCTCTGAAAGTTTCATAAAGTTATCACAAAATGCAAGGTTGAAACCTATAACTCCCGCACTATTGTAGGTCAATATCGAATAGGCACGGCACGGTCTATGCTCCTGTAACTTCAAACAGTACAACATAGACCGTAGGTGCCATGGATCTTAAGTGGACTTTAACGTTAAAGTAGTCCTAATAAGCAAAACCCATGGGTGAAGATGTGCAGAGGGAGAAGAATATGATGGCACCCCCGATACCCTCACTAGGAGCGAAGTTGTATCCAATTGAATATGAAGAGCGACTACTTTGGCAAGGTTTATCGTCGCCATTTTATGACTAGAATGTAGGTAAATACTTGTTTCAGTTACAGATAGTGAATCTAAAACCAAACATGAAGCAGTGAGACCTTTTCCAGAGAAAAGTTAAGCGAAACGACCTTTGCTTTTCTTTCTTGTATAATAATATAGTGATAGCATATTTTTGTACATCGAATCACAAAATACATATCGTACATTATACTCTATGCCTAGTTTTCACATTTAAAAATCGTCACAGAAAATAGCTTACAGGAAAAAGTTCAAATTTTGCGTAATTGAGAAAGTTAACAAATCGTTCAAGTTCATCAATAATTGGGACATTCTATACTCTTGCCACACACATTCCAAATATCACAGTTTGATCCACGAAAATTGGACTTCAGGTTTATCATCAATGGTTCTTTCAAAATGTTTCTTTAGTTTCGATTTCTGGAGGCACCATCAGTAACTACTAATTCGTTCTAGTCTAAAGAAACGTATTACCACTTGTCAGAAAACGAACAAATTAAAACAATGGAAACCCTCAAATTAATACGTAAACAACCTCCCCCTGGAAATCTCGTCCGCTTTTACACATGGTCAGAGAAAAGTAAACATTGATCAATTACGCACAATTTGAACAAAAAACTAGGAAACTGAAAATTTAAACGTCAATATTGTCATCTTCCACATACGAGATGTTCATTCTGTGTAGGAGTTTCTCTGCAGAAAGTTTAACTTTTTCATCTTGGGCCCCAACCAGCATCACAGCACCTTCCTTTAGTATTGTCGCTAAAGGTGATAGTTTTTCTGATGATAGGCTACTTAACAATTCCATGCACGCCTCAACGGTTTCAATTCTCGCACTTTTATAGGCTTCCGAATCCTATAAGGTGTTCGAATTGAAGATCAGAACGTCGAACGTCTACTTACCTTAAAAATGCTTATGGCCCTTTGCTGCTGAATTTCGGGAGGTATCGGCTGCGGGGGCGGAATAAGGTTGGGATGAATTTTGGAAAGATTCGGCTCCAAGACGTGGCTCGTTTTGTGTTTTCTGTATTGTTCCATTAAGGCACCCACTTTCTCCTCAATTTCCTTGTTTGTTCTCATTAACTTCTGATTTAGGCTTTCGGACGAGGTCGACGACTGAATCTGTATAAGCGTGTTAGTGTCATACTTCACCTTGTAGTGGACTTGGGAGTTATCCTCGCTCGCCTCGTCATCAGTTCCGTTGCTGCTATCTCTGTCCCTTTCCTTCTCCTTTCGCTTGGTATCGTGAAGAATTTCTTCATTGTTTAAATTTGGTAAAAAGTTTTTATCAAGGTAACTCTCCGAGTCGGACGAACAGAAACTCTCGCTCCGTTTAAGTTCGATCACCTTCACTTGCTCACTGGGATGAAACTGTTCAGCATATTCCTCTTTGGCATTCGGTATGTTAATTGAAAGGTTGACATACGAGTCGCACATAAATTCCCATTTGGCCTGCAACTTACGCAAAAACTGTTCGACGTAGTCAACATCATTACAGCATTTCTCCTTGTCTTCCCTGCTCAAAATTTCTTTAAGCTGATTAGGAGTTATCGAATATTTATCTATTCCGTCCAAACAGAGCTCGATCAAAACGATTATTTCAACCACCTCCGAGGTGTTGGCTTGCGTGTACAGATTAGCAGATTTACTCAAATTACCCACTTTCTGCATTAAGAATTTCAAACCAGGCCTGCTATCAAACTCCTTGGCGCGCTCGTTGGACATCTCGAGACATCTTAAGAGTATATTAACATGTTTTGCGTTCACATGCGTTAGTATTCCGCGCAAGCTGCAGGAGTTAATTTGTAGAATCTTTAAAATTGGAGTTACGTGATTTAAATTTTGCAGTAACGCGCTGGAAATGGTCTGAATGAGCATTTGATGCGCCAAAATTCCCAGAACTAAGTTCCGGAACGGTACTCGAATGGTAAACAGATCGGGGTTGAACGAGCTGGCTGCCTCTAGTGGGAAGAGCAAAAAAACGTAGCTGCGATCGTCAACGGTAATGTTAGTGGAGAGTTTCTCACAGTCGCACTGTTTGCCGAAACACTTGTTGCAGTTCTTTTGGGAATGCATTAGTAGGACTTGTTGAGCAAGTTCGTATAAGCGTTCGTTCTCTTCGGGAGTACTGTCACGTCGAGCTGCAACCTTCACCGTTGCTAAATCTCCATAAAAGCTATCCGAGTTTGGTTTAAAAGCGGATGTAATCTGTTGAAGCGGATTTAGACTAATTGCGCATGATCTATGGATAGCTGTTATCAATATCTCCCACTGATTCGTGGTAAGGATTTGTCCTACGTTTATTATTAGATGCCTCATGCATGATGCGCCCAGTCTAGCTATACTCTCCAGTGGTTGGGCTACGCATTCATTCAAAATTAAAAGCAACTGCTTCAATGCGAGTGATGCACCTGGATTTTCAACGTTGTTAGGTTTGTTGTCATCTTCCTCTCCCTCTTGCAACGTGTGAAGGTATTCAACGACTAACTCAGTGGCCATACCGCAATAGTGCTTAAAATGTTGCCCATTGTCGCCCACTTTTGGGATTTTCATATTTTGCCTCAACCAACTTTGAACCATAGGCAAAAGTAGGTGATTAATACAATATAAGCCGAAATTTATTCCCGGATTTACGATTAAATCTCTCAGCAGCTTGAACAGGGTTTCCAGGACGTAAGGCTGGTTCCTCTCTTCGGCAAGTACGGCCGTTGTTGCCAAACCTTCTAGTAACGCGAACCATATTTTCACTACGCCGCTAGGCTTGTCCATTTGGGGTAGCATCATGTTATTTCGCATGCAGTTGTCTAGGTCGATTTTGGGTGAGAGTATCTCGTACGACATGTTGTCGCCTTGTTCGAAATAAGTGGGAAGACTTACAACTTCTGGGTTGGGTATAGCAGAATCGACGAGCTGTGGGGACGTGTCCGTCTTCACTCTGTGATTCAGGTTGAAGGTGGGGCATTTCGGCATGTAGTACATCATTGAGAGAATGGTCGCGCAATTTTCTAATAGCTTAAGGGACTCCAAGCATAAATTAACTTGCTCGCATAAAATTTCACGTGACCCTTCTTTTTTCTTCCTTTCATCCACAGTGTCCAAAAATATGTTCTTTTGTACATTCTTATCACTTACATTTGATATGCATTCAGAGAACTTTTCTCCCTCTGCGTGTCTGATATGCGAAAGTAGGCACATGATGTAGTCGAGAGCGGCGTTTGCAAACACCAAGGTGTTGTCCGTGGATAGGAACACCTTAAAAACCTCCAGGATAGCTGCCGAATTGTTTCTGCCGTTAGCAACACGTAAAGTACCAAACAGAGGACGCCACCCCGAACAAATTTCGATTCGATTGCCTTCCACAAATTCGCACAGGCAGGAAACGATTTGGTCCTAGAAATACACCAAGACTGTTGGAATTCGAGCGACATTTTACCAACCTGAACGTCCGCGTCGCACATTTCTAGGCAAAGCAGATTTTCGAATGGCTTAAATAGGGCCTCGTTAAAGTGGAAGTGCGGTAATTCCGTCTGCTCATTGAGTAAAGCGGTTACAGAGTCGTGTATACACGTAATTGCTTTTTTTGATACGCTGGGGTCCTTGTGACATGCCGCCTGCATGAAGTGTGGACCGACGATTGACCACACTTTCATGGTGTGAATTAAGGGTCTACCAGATCGTATGCATTTTAATGTAACTTCTCCAATTCTGTGTAGGAGTAATGTAGCTGGTGGTTTTTGTCTTGCCTCCAATTCCTTTTTCCACCATTTCTTAGTGCTGGGCAACTCATCGGTTTTGGCAAAAAGCTGGAATGGAGTTGTTAAATGTTACTTTCAATTGGAAGAGCTCACCTGAGCATATGATGCTTTACACAGTTCCGTTAGAAAACTGCAAAAACCAGGCAAAGGCAATCTGAGAGCGGCCGAGTGGAATAATTCATCCACTCTCACTGACAGAACGCAACAGACTTTCGCGGCATATACACCTGTCAGGATACCTTGTCCTTGTCCGTTGTGGACACCGCTTCTTTCGACAATTTCGGCAATGTTCCCGTCGTGAGAATTGGAATTTGAGGAGTAAGACGAATTTTGCAAAAAACTGTAAACGTCCACACTGCAAGGCAAAAGTCAGTACGAGACTGTACTTGGAAAATTATTACCAAGTTTCATCGTCGCTGCTCGAATTGAAGCTTAAACTTAGTCGATCAGACGTGTTGACTGCAGTTGTCGATGTAACGGCGTTGTTTTGGTTCTGAGCGACCATCAGCAGCTGTGTTGAACCTGCTTTGCTGAAGAGCGCATGTTCAAGACTTGATATGGCAATACACGCATTGAATACGTGCGGCCAGCAAGCGGCGCTGTGGGATCCAAGGGACAAACCTACAATATTACATTGGAAATGAAATTCAACATTTTGATCACAATTTTTTATATTTTTGGAAACCAAACGGAATTAGAAACTAATTTAAAAATGAACGTGAAAAATTATGGTTTTCAAACCCTCTGTCGAAACCACCACACAACATGGCATTAGAGAAATGGAAAGTAGCATTTCACAGTAAATTAAGGAGTTAGATAGTGAAAGTGCTTTGATGGGTAGGTAGTACATTTCCGTGGGTGTTTACCTTTTGACAAAATAACATCTAAAGAAAGGGCGTGTGAAGCTGGAAGTTTGGGTCCCTGAATCTTGCAAGAAGACGCAGACAGCAACCCCAAAATGCTACTACTTCTGGCTTGCAGTTTCAGAGTGTTGCTCAAACTCGCTGCCTGTAACGAAACATGAAAAATACATCTGATACAACAGAGAATATACCTTATGCAATCCTTCCAGACATGCAGTGATTACATCGTCTTTAATTCGTTGCCGAAATTTCTGCTTTGATCTTCGTGCCACTAGCCTACTAAGTGCAGAAGCGCCTCCGCTACTCAAAGATTTTTCACCTAACGCCAAACCCAAGACCGACACCACCGACGTCCAGCAGCAAGTTAACACTCGGCGCGACAGCTTAATGCCCGCTTCCACTTCTGCACTGATATCGGGTACTCCCCGAACTCTTTGTAATTTTTGCCAATCGGTCAGTAGCTGCGTGGGACAAAGACCTCCGACGTCTGTAAAGAGTGACAATACATTCAAAAGGGTACACGAATTTGAGAGAGGGGCGAACGCATTTTTTACAGGACGAAACCTACCAACTAACAAATTGATTAGGGCCGGTTGTTGCAACCCTTTAGGATCATATCCGGCTAACTGCAACAGCGACTTGGCCAAGACGTTTTGGTACAATTCACACAACCAAGTAGCCGAGACGTAAACCAATATCCCGCTACCATGTATTTCCTCTACAAATTGAGCTTCTGTAATGCACACCTCTGAAGTACCTCCTTCATAGTGTGACGATTGGATTAGCTTTAAATTGAGCAAAAGGGCGGAGTACGTGGCTAAATAAATACCGTCGGCGTTCATTATAGTAGTGATTTCGTAGTTTTGGGCGGCATTGTGTTGGCAACACTTTGAGGCAAACTCTTGGAGGTATTCGTCAATCTGTATGGAAGATCTGAGCGTAAGCAAGTTGGGCAATAAAATATTGTGCAGGGTTTTTACAAAGTGGCGCGCGTTGTGGCGTTCTAAATCGACGTTGCATTCATCGATGCCCGTGCGTCCCTAAGACAAACAGTATTATTTATTTACTTTGCTCAAGAACACACGCACCAATTGCAACGACTTTGGCAAATTGTGTAACTGCTGCAGTTGTTGGCTTGTTAAAAAGCTTTCATCGTCCATAATGCTATCATCCGATGGGTCGGGTTCAACAAACTCTTCGGGGCCTTCGGTCGCTCCTGAGCATTCCGAATCGGATTCACCTTCAACATTCTGTCCGCCACCGTCGATGCCGCTGCTATCAGAATCGCTTTGGTACCTCAAATTGGCGACTACATCTCTGTACGGTTTGGGTAACCTGGCTAAAGACTGGTAAGTAAGCGGCCCTGTGTAATCGGCTTGCTCTAATGTCGGATAGCGGACGTTTGCAATTTCGGAACCTTCTTGGTCGAGGCCTTCCCCATTGCATAACGCCTCCAATGAACCTAGAAGTGCTCCAACACATTCGACGCTTGCAAGTATGATACTGGGATCGTTGCATTGGGAGGATTCCTCGATGGAATCTACAATTCTGAACGAAACTCACTAATATGGTAGTCGAATGGTCGGAGCCACTTACAAACGAATGATCGCCATGTCGTCGCCGGCATGCCGATGCAAGGGTCCACTCAGCAAGAGCAAATCGGCCAAACGAGCAGGAGATCTCAACAGTTCCTTCGCGACGCGCAGCGGCTCCAGTCTTTTACCCGGGCACGGCAAAAGCAACATTCTATGGAATAACGCCTCAAGGACCGGTCGCAAGGCACGCTCTCTCCCTACCAAGCGTACCACTTGAATTCCAATGCTACAAAAGTGAGAATCTCACTAACTGACTAGACTACAGTTCCAATACCTGTAAACGATTTTTGACTGGTGCGTTGTCAGCCCTTGTCGCTCCGGATCACCCGGTGTGCCTAACAATGCCAAAAGGGCCGGGCAGAATTTTTGCCATAAGAAGGTGGCAAAATGCGCGTTGGAATGGACTGTATTCGGTAAAGTATTCACTAACGTCAACAAGCACTCCAAAAGAAACACAGTGATATCGCTTGATTTGGTAAACCTAAAATCCCATGGTAAATTATTTTGGCATTCAATTAGTGGCATACGTTTTGGTTTCTTCAAGTCTACTACAAATGTATTGCATAACGGGAATGGCCTCATTGAAGCAAGCGACAGCGGAAGTTTTGTTATAAACCATTTCAGCGGTTGTGCCCGAATTTTTGTGTTTTTGCTGCTGCTGTAGTATCTCATGATGCTCTTCGTCCAAAAATGTGCAAAAAGCCGTTAGTGTTTGACTTGCAGCCGCCTGTGCTGCCGCTCTGATCGGCTGCGTGCCGGTTTCATAAGCTTCGCCGCATCTGCTAATTAGCAACATTACCAATCGGCCATTTAAGGTCCAACTGGCGCTGCAGGCTAGATTTAAGACCACCCTTAAAATGTGTACCTATTCGAACAGTCAATTAAGCTACTCAGTCTCCAAAAAGTATCCCACCTGCGTATCTTCGCACTGCGATAGCATCGAGGAGGTCGCATGGAGCAGCTGCGCCGGTAGCCACAAGGAGTCATCCTCTGGCTCGGATCCTGCTTGAAATCTTTCATCCCGTACGATTTTCTGAAAGGCAAGGCTGAAAGGACCGATAGCAATTTGCCAACTTACGTTCAAGCCTGAGAGGGCCAAGGTGACTAGTTTACTTTTTTTGGTGTCCAAAGCCAACTTTAACGGTGTAAAAGTCGAAGTTCTTAATTCATGGGAAGAATTCCTTAGTAAATTATTTTGAGAGCATAATAAATCTGAAAGTTCTCTTGAGAAAATATGTTAGTAAGATACTAACTTACCATGGGCTTCTTGTGCGCTCTGCCTTAATGACGAAAGTTTTGGTCCAGTTGCTTCCTTTATCAAATTTAATAACAAATCCTCCATTTGTTATTGATGCAGTTTAAAATTTACTAATGACCCACACCATACGCGATACGTATTATGCCGCTTTCTGAATTACTCATAGGCATGCCCCAGAATAATCAATACCGAAATGCGCGGTCATTTGCCGCTTTAATTTTGAATTTATTCGAGATTGCTCTGTTTGCTGTTGCTTAAACATTTGTTAAGCTATGCTTTCAAGCACATAGTTTGCTAGATGATGGATTGGATCGGATTCCGATTGGTTTGATGTCCACTATCTGCATAATGACCCTAAGATATTAGTCGTGAAATATTTGTGCACTTTTTCGATTGGTTTTAAATTGAACCACGTTCACTAAACTGGAAAGTATGTTCACAATAACATTGTTTAACCACCAAAGTTGATAAAAACTGTTACCGGAATTGTAAGTTGATTATAATAATGTAATCACGACATAAAAAAATAAAGGTTGACTAATCAGACACAGCTAAATATAACTAAAGGCTACAATAATGGGTAGGGTGGCTTTGTCAGTCTGGTTCTACAGTGCTATTTATTTAAAAGTGGACATAGGGATTTACGTGTATTGCTTTTCCCTATGTGTACTTTTAAATGACAAAATCTCTTCTGAAGGTAGGCTAATCATATGCATCCACAATAATAACTTCTTCAAAGAAATAAAGATCTGACTGTCATATTTAATTGGAATATTGTTTTAACATACTTCACGGAAAATAAATCTCTTACGTTCCTTAAACTGTTAGCGGCACTAGACCAAAGGAAAATATCAACCTTTTCTTCAGCTGAATACATCGCACACGAACAAAATGAAAAATACAGAAGTCCATAAAATTAAGCACCCTTCAGAAAAGATTTTGTCATTTAAAAGTAGACATAGGGAAAAACAATATAAATGTACCTAAATCCCTATGTCTACTTCTCAATAAATAGCACTGTGTATGTAATTACACTGGCAATGAAGTATCGTTAGGAGCTATTATATTCGTTATGGCTGGCTGTCTGGCTGTTTGGCTGAGATTTCAGCAGTTACAATAGACGGAGACTTCAAATTTTCACTTTCTGCTATAGTGTAGATGTGCAAGCTCTAGTCTATTTTGAGTTAGGTTACTCGTGAGATCGATTTATTTTAACCTTTGCTAATAAAATACTGATCTATAACACCAAAAATGTGCTTTCATCATTCATTATGCTGATTTACAACTTGTTTTTAAACAAATTGTTTACAACTTTCTAACGGCTCAGATCATTCCCAAAAATATACTTGCGAAAATCGTTGACTTGCTCCTTCGGCTTTTTTTTTCTTTGCCAATTTAAGCCAATAATAATTAGGATCTAACTAAACCTCTTAATGAAGAAAGTTTCTAAAGGTAAAAAGAGTGAGACCTATATGAATAAGTCAATGCACTTTCTCCAGTTATCCAAACCAATGCGCATCCTAGAAGACTTTCTTAAAGCTATTAATTTTAGCATAAAGAATGAAATTTTATGCATTGTCCGTGGCTCTTTAAATACGTCAAAAACGGTAATTAAACGCACGGAAACTTTCTTTGTGCACTTGAAACCGATGACATACTGCATCTTGACTTTCCATCCAACAACCTGTAGATGTACATTGAATTACATACATATACCTGCAATAAACGTAAGAAATTAACAGAATCTAAACACTTTCACTAAAAATACGAGTTATAGGAGGGATTTCGGCGTAATACTTTCGCCGACCGAATTGTCACAAAAATACTCTTAGACCAAAAGCGGAAAGATCCAGTTTTGTATTCTAGTTACGTTTGAAGCGGGGTGACATAATTAGCGTATGTGATGTGGTTTAAAGAATTGGTACTTCGAGTTGTTGGTGGGACTTGGGAGTTTTTAGTAATATGTGCACTCTGCGTCTATTACTGTATGGAAACGGTCCTGTTGACGATAACACCGTCATTTTTGAGATGGCAAAAAAGTTTGAAAGGGAAGAGAATTGTGATTACTGGAGGAGCTGGAGGTGTTGGTCAGGAGTTGGCGCTTCAATTAGGCCGACTGCAGGCGAAGGTGGTTGTATGGGACACCAATGAAAGAGGTATGGTTATGTACTTAGGGAACTGTACAATATCCCATTGCAAATTACTTCAGCTCCAAACAATTTTTCCTCATCCAGTGTAGTCTCTTGATGATACCCATCACGTTAATGCCATGTGGCGCAGTTCAGTTTAAGCTGGCCTGCGGTACAAAGGGTCCTTGATGGTTCGAATCCGGGTTCGGCCATGGATATTTATAAATGTATAGTGGGTTAGGTTGGTAGAACAGCCAAGACTGAAATTCCCCCTCAATAAAATGAAATAAATAAAATAAATAAAATAAATCAAATAAATAAAATAAATCAAATAAATAAAATAAATAAAATAAATAAAATAAATAAAATAAATAAAATAAATAAATTAAATTAAATTAATTAAATTAATTAAATTAATTAAATTAATTAAATTAATTAAATTAATTAAATTAATTAAATTAATTAAATTAATTAAATTAATTAAATTAATTAAATAAATTAAATAAACGAAACCAACGAACTTCTAACGGGCTCTTTTTAGCAACTTCCATAAACCAGAACCAACGCTGAACGCAATCTTTTCTCGATATTAAGGGCCGAGTCCAACCTGCCAGTAATCACCCTGCATGTCCGACGTTGGAAATCATTTAGTTCTCGTAAGAGTATCTAAAGTGCCATCGGTAGCGTAGCATGACCAAACGGCGCCTAGGGCAAGCTTTAAAATTGCGCCCCTTTGTAAATTACCTTAATATAAAACAGGGGTTGGAACCCATATGAAATATAGGTATCGGTTGCGCGTTATTTAGGTAAAACCATTTTTAAGGGTTCCGGTACCGGTTCCGGTTCCAGTTTTTTTCGGTTTTTAAGGGTTGCAACATAAATAAATAAAATTATTATTAAAAAATATAAATGATTAATAATTATATATCATAAATAATACCTACACACAATTAAAGTACATTGTTCTTTTATATAAACAAATTTTTTAAAATTTGATTGACACTTATATTTTTGGCTTCCGCGCTCGTTTCACCTCAACTGCCTGTTTTTTTCTACTTTGCTTTTCTGGAGCAGTAGTTTCAACTATTGCTTTCCTTATACATTCTTCAACATTCTTACTGTTTTTGATTCATTTTATAGGTATTAGTCACTCTAAAATATTTTATATTTGTTTAGTATTAAGGTTAAGTTGGTAGAAGTTAGTGAGCAGTTCTGAATAAAAGTGAGAATTTGGATTTTTGGATTTTGAAATTTCTTGCAAATTCTACAACACAAAACGTAGTTCAGAAGGCAAGATTTTATTCTTGGCCATCCAGTCGATAAAGGATCAGTCATTGGTGATAAGAAATGAAATCGGATATGATGTGTAGTTTCCAGAAAGTGTGATATGCTGACTCTAGGATTCTCTAGATACTTTTCGTTTGTTCCTATATAAAAAACAAATTTTAAGAGCAACAATATAACACGCATTTCCCTCTCGCAAACCGCAACTCTACCTACAAAAGAGAGGGAACCGAAAAATACCGGTTCCTTGGCACTAATAATAACGGTACCGGTATCGGTTCCGATTATCATAACTTTTGAAATAACGGTTCCGGTTCCAAGTCAGAAGCTTATAAATGAAATCGATGCCGGTTCCAGTACCGGTTCTTTTCGGTTCTGGTTCCAGCGCCTGATATAAAACGAATCGAAGAATCGCATACAATTTTCAGTAGGGGAGTTTTTCGTGCACTGCTTGTACCTAATTAAATCGGCTCGCATGCGGAAACACAACTTTTAATTCGGCTCATGTTTAATAGCAACGATCCTTGAACTCGTACAAATCGATTAACGAAGGTTTGATATTGCCGTCTCTTTTCCTTCTTGAATTAGACAAGGAACCGACGGATGGACGGACAAAACCATCACATAAAGGGATTTCCCCTAAAAAGCAGATACACTTTTGGAGCTTGTATTAACTATGAGATGACGCTCCGACGTTTCTGGTAACGCCGCCGGTGAGCGACTTTAATGATAGAACTGTCACGTTATTAAGCGGCAGAGCAAAGCGAGGTGTCCGTCTGTCCGTGAACATGATAACTGTCAAACGCTTGGACCGATTTGGTTCAAACTTTGCACAGTTGACATATATGCCACATGTAATAAGCCTATTGAAAATGGGTCAAATCCAATGACCCCGTGGGGTCACGCTTCTCTGTCCCTGCCAAACGCTTGAACCTATTCGGTTGAAACTTTGCACAGTAGACTCATATGCCACATGTAACAACATTGAAAATGGGTCAAATCCAATGACCCCGTAGGATCACGCCTCTCGGTCTTTAGCAAACGCTTGAACCTATTCGGTTCAAACTTTGCACAGTTAACATATATACCACATGTAACAAACCAATTGAAAATGGGTCAAATCAATGGTCCCGTAGGGTCACACCGAGGTGCGCTGTCCCTTTTTTAGATGCTCTTAAGGGGCTTATTTAGTCAGTGACAGCCCTAGATGTCAAATGCAGCTGTAACATGGCTGGGGAGTAATAATAATAATAATAATAATTATATTTATATATATATATATATTTTAACCCTACATAACTTCACCAGACACAGACACAGACACTAATCGTTACTTGATTTTAATCCGTGCGATTAGTTAACCAGGCTAGACCTGAGTTCTCACAAGAAACACCGACCATAATATTAATGTATATTTCATGGAAATGTAAACAATGTACTTACACTCGTCCAAAAAGAAAATAATGGGAAAATACAATAAAAACAAAACATCCAAACTATAGTTATTCAATTCACTGTGAGTAATCCTACACTATGAGTACCAATAGGACCGGAGGAACCTACGCTATGGGTTAACAATAGGTGTTGTAGCAAAGAGTAACCATAATTTACTCTTTGGTTGTAGTCCTACGCTATGGGTGAACAATAGCATCTGGTGCACTTACGCTATGGAGAACAGTAGAACCAGACAGAGTCTTCTTAACTATGAAGAAAAGAAGTCGACTGAATTTTTATGGTCATCGTGTTTAATTCCTTCAACAACCCTGACTACAGGGCCGTTGTGTAGGCGACTTTAATCCCGCAAAAATGAACTACACCGCGTAAGTGCATCGGTCATCGGCACCCCTCATTCCATGGGATGCTTGATATGATGTTTATTGTGGTTTATTTTGATTTTTAAATTTAATAATTGGCGATTTTAGCGCCCCCTTTTGTGCCCTAGCTACGCCTCTAAGTGTCATCGATTCTTGGCGATGATAGCTTTTACCGATTAGCCCTTTTTCTAAAGAAAGACCTTTTCATCAGCTTCTTGGTGAACTAGCTCTTCATTACCGACGTGACGCACTCTATTCTTCAAGTCCATAGAAAATCCAAAGATCATCTCATCCCCGGTATCAGCCACCAGCACTTGCTGCTTACCGGTATCCAATAATAACGTCCACCACGATCTCTCCAAGATCGGTTGCAGTCTTGAGTTTAAGGATGGATGGCATCAGTTTTTTATTCTTCACAAGATCAGGTCGCACCAGTATCTACCAACAATGAATAACTTTCTCCCATGACGGCTCGCTCCATCCACATATAAACTGCCCGTCTGTCTGAGGGCAATTTATTCTTAGATGCCCAGCCTTGTTACGTGGCCAGCAACGTAATTTCTTCATCTTGGATAAACGCTCATCAAGATGGTCTACTCTATCTACTAATTTTCGAACCAGTTCACTGGATTTCTCTTCTTTGGTGCTGGATTCCACGGATTGCCCAGTACCGTGTGACACCTTCTTTTCTGTTTCGAATTCCAACGCGCGAGCAAGGGGCCTTCGCGATCCTCTCGTGCCTTGCTAACCTTAATGCTTGCTGGACATCAGTACCTCGTACAGCATCGCTGAATGTTTGCACGGCTAGTTTGTCTAAAAAGCTTTCTTCTATGGCCGAGACAGCCCCTCACATTTCCTTGCTCGTTTCAGATGTTCTTTGTATTCAAACTTTATTTCCGTGGTTTAAATTCTGTGGATGACCGCCCAAGACTCTTCGCATCGTTCATCCTCTCCGACAGATTTCTTCCAAATAGCCATTTCCTTACTGGTCATCTGAAAGTATATCTAGGTGTTCATTAAGTCCTAAAGCGACCATCAGCACTTAGACGAGGACATTGACCGTCCTTTCCTCCACTCGGGCTATGGCAGCTGTGCGTTTCGACTAAACGTTTGTGCTGTTCCGTCATTTATGCCACAACATCCGGATTTAATTTTGGTACGCCAATGACCTTACTCTTTTCTGTTGGTAGTAAGTCGTTGATCACTTATCTATCCAAGCCTGACCGTAGAATAGCTCCCCAACGAGAAGTCAGCTCCTGGTGGATATTAGTGGACAACTCGGCTTGCACAATCCCCGATGGTAAAGGTAATTGGGGAGTATGTCGTTTGTCCTCATTTGCATCTACATAGAATTTCAGTGAAAGACGGTAACTATTTTTAGGAACTACTGAAAATGGTACAGCAACAACTCGTTTACCTCTTGCCTTAAATTTCAGGGGATGATCTTGAAGTTTCCGAGTGCCTGTTTATCTCGTCTAGTTGTTTACTTACCCAATCATATAAAACATCAAATTCAATCTTTCTCAACGGGTCTCTTGCACCAAAATGCTTTCTTCTTTTGCCACTTGTCTCTTGCATGGCATCCAAGGTTTTAGCTTTCCGCTTAATTACCATAGGGATTCAACAACTCGTAGCGCACTAATAAAGTCCTTAGCGACCGTAACTAGCTTAGATCATATATGTCAATATATTATGATTTACTAAGGTAACTACAGACACGGAACACCAAGAAGTTGGTGGTTTTTAGCGCATTTCCACAAAAATAAAAAAAAATGCGCTATTGTGGCCACTTTGTCCGTCCGTCCGCTAACTTTGCGACGCTACTAGTTTTTTATCTTAAGAGCTATTGTTCTACTTTTTTCGCTATTTGTTATTTCGTTATGGTGTCGAGTCTTGTACCAAGGAAGGAATTTTTTCTGTACCGCTTACAAAAAAAGTTATTGTAAAAAACACAAAAAACCGTTTTTTACATGTTCCATAATTTTACACTTTTGCCGTTTATTAACGATCCTAGAGATCGTTTATAATTTTGCATTGCTATCTGTCGCCTGCCGGTTTGTCTGTCCGTCTGTTCCTTTGTCTGTCTGTCCATCTATCTGTCCGTGTGAACGATAACTTTGTTTAGAAATGTTCGATCGCTTTTACATCTCCGTTAGTTATGAACTGAATTGCATGAAATTCCATATGGGCATAGCTTTAGCCATATAATACGCAATGCCAAAAGTTGAATCGAATCGATTCAAAATTCACAGTGCCCTTTTTGCATCTCGACCATTTATAAACCGAATTGCAAACTTTTTTACTTATAAAAGTATTTGAATGAAATTTGATACATAGGCACTTGGAATAAAGAAAAATCAAACGCAAATTTCAAAATTTGGTTTTGCGCATGCGCAGTGCCAACTTTTTTATTTATGGAAGAATTTAAACGAAATTTGATACAGAGGCACTTGGGATAAAGGAAAATCAAACGCCAATTTCAAAATTTGGTTTTGCGCATGCGCAGTGCCAACTTTTTTTATTTATGGAAGAATTTAAACGAAATTTATCCATAGGCACTTGGGATAAAGGAAAATCAAACGCCAATTTCAAAATTTGGTTTTGCGCATGCGCAGTGCCAAATTTTTTATTTATGGAAGAATTTAAACGAAATTTGATACATAGGCACTTGGGATAAAGGAAAATCAAACGCCAGTTTCAAAATTTGGCTTTGCGCATGCGCAGTGCCACCTTTTTTATTTATGGAAGAATTTAAATGAAATGTGATACATAGGCACTTGGAATAAAGGAAAATCTAGCGCCAGTTTCAAAATTTTATTTTGCGCATGCGCCGTGCCAACCTTTTTATCTATGGAACTATTTAAGTGAAATTTGATACTTAGGCGCTTGGAACAAAGGAAAATCTTAGTTTATTAGTTAGTTATAGTAAATTAGTTTTACAATTTAGGTTTGCGCATGCGCAGTTCCAACCTTCTTATTTAGAAAAGCATGGAAATGAAATTCTTCTCATAAACTGAAATTGAAGTAGCACGTCAACAATGGATTGCCCATGTGCAACGCTATCTTTCATATTTGTGGCCGGATTTTACGATTTTAACAGAAGTTGCATCTTACAAATGGGAAATGAATGCAAGTGGAAATGCGCTTTATGTAAATCGTTTACGATTACTTTTTAACTTGTTTGGTTTAGGCTTTGAATTTCTTGGCGCAATCACCGAATATAATTAGGTGCACTATAAACATTATACGATTATATGACTATATGGAAAATGGTACTTAATTAGAGTAATTATATCGGACATGAATAGTAGAATGACATAAAAGTCGAAGACAAAGATTCCTCACAATGACCTGTACCTAATTTAAATCTAAAAATAGTTACTAAAAACACTCTGTTTCTCAAACTATTTTTTAGTAGGAACTTACTACTGATCTGAAATTTTGGTAGAAGATTCCGCCATCCTTTCATTTTATCTTTGACTTTTATTTTCAGCGGTTGAAGCACTGCGATTGCGATTTTACAATGAGGGAATGGAACTCCAGTCGTATATTGTGGACGTCACCGACCGACATAGCGTCTACAAGCACGCAAATTTGGTGAAAAGCGATCTCGGCCCGGTTGACATTCTCATCAACAATGCCGGCATTGTAACCGGACGCACCTTTCTAGACATACCGGACGACATGGTTGAGAAAACCTTCCAAGTGAACGTCATTTCGCATTACTGGGTAACAGCCTTAGTTTTCCAAGTCCAAAGTTACGATTGACCATTTCAGACCATCAAGGCGTTTTTGAGCGATATGCTGAAGAGAGGCAAGGGCCATGTCGTGTCTGTCGGAAGTCTAACGGGTATGCTCGGTACTTATAAATGTACAGACTATAGCGCGACCAAGTACGCCTTGCACGGTCTGCATGAGAGTCTCCTAACCGAATTGAAGGTTTCGCCGTTTCCTATAAAAATTTCCCATTAAAAGTCCCGTTTCAGACTCATGGATACGACAACATTCACCTAACATTAGTCAGTCCGTTCTTCATCAACACTGGAATGTTTGCAGGATGCAAACCGCGTACGCTATCCATGCTGGAGCCTAAAAACGTCGCCACTCGCATTATTACAGCCATTAGAAGGGAAGAAACATTTCTTACGATGCCCGCAAGTTACAGGTTTATCATACCGATCAAATTGTAAGTTTTCGACTAGTTTGCACTATACTTCAATTCTCATTTTAGTTACGTACCTTCAAAACTATGTTGGGCGGTTATGTACCGTGTTATACAGGGTCCGCAAAGTATGATGGGTTTGGTCGGTCGCCAAGATACAACAGCTGCTTGAAGAATTAGAGCACAGTCATGTACCTACTATAGTTTTAATTTATATAACCCAAATCCTGGCGATGTTTCTAATTAAGTTCTTTAACACTCGTCATTTATTCAGTATAAGAGTTTGCAACTTTCTAAAGTTGTGGAAAACGCGTACCTACACGAAAAACCGCGACTTTTTTCAGATTTTGCTCTATATCTCCTAAACTATGGATTTTTCGACGAAGGCAAGTGGTTATTATTAACATGCAACAAATTCATAGATTTAATTGAAGGCAGAAATCCAAGTTGAAGTTGAATAAATTGTAGGTTATTAGTTATTAGTCAACGAGCTAATGTGTGCAGAAATGGTAGTGGCCTTGAGGATCGTAGCGATTCTTCGTTGTACGTAGTCCCGTTGGATTGGCAGGTGTTCTTCGTCTTCTCCATCTCTAGTTCCGCCCCATACCATCCGGTTTCTTCTTTCCAAGCTCCGAGCTCACAGTGTTTATTCCTCCCTTGTGAGTTACTCCTATTTCACTTTGTAAGTTTGTGTTCAAGCTTCTTGTTGTCGTGGGAGACATGTGTGTTTAGTTTTTGGTGGGTATCTTGAGGATGCCACCCAAAAGAGCACAAAATTTGCAGAGCGATCACGGCGGTATTCTCCAGTATCAGCTCCCAAGAGATGTTCTCATTGAGCATCTCTGTTCCGCCGAGGGGATTGGCTTCCAGTAGAGTGGCAGAGATGAGGCGGTTTCGAGGGCGGTTTGCATCCAGTTCTCCACCAGCTCGTTTAACCAAGGAGAACTAGAAGATTTGAACTGTTCATCCACGCATTTACTGGGTGCGACACAGCCTTTGTCCCTTTCTAGCAGGGGAAGATGAAAATGTTGGGTCGCTTCCGACAGAATCAAGCCCTAGTGAACCAAGCAAGGGTATTTCTCCACCCAGATGCCACACACAAGTCGCAGCAGCCGGGTACAAGTACCCTACCTAGAGGAAGACGAGACGACAGACACCCGCAAAGATATACGCTTCCGTAGTTGAGACAGCAGTCAACGGCGAAGCGAATCTGGCTCATTTGCCCCCAACCACAGAGGCTGTGTCATATCATCACTATTGCACATTCCATCATGTGCAAAAGTGGTTCGAAGTGGAGAAAGACGTCGCCGACTGGGGTTAGAAATTGAACTTCGCTGGACTCATCCCCATTACCAGTTGGCAAGCCCCCCCCTCCCCCAGAGCTCTTAAAACTCCTTTCTTGCAAATGAAAGAAGGAATACAGTGGTGGCTTGCCTGAAAGCAGGGCTAAAATGTTCTGTGATGTGTCCTACATGCTCTGGGGACACTTGCCAGAGCGCTGCTCTTATCATCATCGAAGAGGAGGACGATAATCAGCCTCAAGATATCCATTACTGGAGGATGGTGGTTGATTTCGGTTTAAAGAAGGTCTAGTATATTGTATTCGTGTACCAAGGGACAAAGTGTGTGATTTAATCCAGAACCCACTCTAGTAATGTGGTACATACGCTACTTTTTGTTCTCTGGTAACTCCATGAGCTAAGCGGGGGAAATTTATCAACGACGAATTTCGAGATAAACCCCTGACTTCTTCGATATCCCAAAAGTTTAAGGAGATAAATAAACTAGTCTTGTAGCTACAATTATATTTACCGTCAGAGATTGTAGTATATATAATATTTGGCGAGACTAGGGCAAACCGAGTCGTCTAATGATATCAACCAGGACCTGGCCTCTGGTTGGGAAACTTTGGAGGCGGGCTTGGATCGGCAAGTGGCCAACGACTTAATAATTAGACTCTTGAGCGCTCATTTACAGAATAATTTAAACCGAACTTTGATCCCAAAAACGTCCCCAACAAGTAGCAAAACGTGGGGGAGGGGGGGGTCTGTCTCGACCATCTAACAGGGCTGGGCGGAGCGACCGAAGAATATACTGACAAAATCAAGACACCATTTCTCGAGAGAACCCGACAGAATCAGCCCAAACACGACATCGTTGAAGGTAATTAATCTTCCGAGACATCTTCAAGTATTCCAGACTGAATTTTTTGGTAAAAAAACACTATCGTACAGACATGAGTAAGATGAGTATTTCGAAATGTAAGTCTTCCAAGAGCAAATTCATTTTAAATATATTTAAACGTAAAGTTAACTACGTGGATTATTTATTTACAATTTATTAACAAAGAATTTGCAACAGTCCTTAAATAGATTGATTTATAACAGATAATTATTATTTATCACTACTCATCAATTCGGCATCGATGTTGGAACTTCTGTTAAACACGATTCAATTTGATTATATAGTAAATTAATAATTTCTAGAAAGTTCCTGAATAAGTAGATTGCATTTCCCGAAAAAAACACTTCACATCCGCTTGCGTTCCTTATTACTGGTAAGTAATGTCAGCAGACTTGATGGCCCCTTCTAGAATATTCGCTACAATATTAGTCCCAAAGCTTGATGGTTTACAGGTGAATCCTAAACTTGAAAGAGCTTAATCAGTTTATAGAAACTCAGCATTTTAAATCGGACCCCTACATATTTAAGATTCTCTTTTAGGGATACCTTATTTCAGTTTAATTGTCTTCCGTTTGGAGTTCACTTGTTAAATATTTCGCACACAAAATCTCTTCCTAAGAAACTGGGTTTTATTTGACAAACGGTCATCAAGCCACCCACCATATACCTGTCGAGCTAGCTCAATTAAACACTCACTCTCAAAAACAATTAACATGATCCTGGGTCGTAACTTGGGCTCATTCTAGTACGAAACTGTTCTCTTACACAAAACACAAATTTATTTAATAATAAACAAAAACAATACGGCTGTAAAGAAAGGCACTCAAGACATATACCCCGTACGCAGCCGGTCGATCTAAACAGGATAAATAAAGTTCTTTAAAGTGTCAACAATCCAATAATATAGTTTTACACTGCAATTCCCAATTCGACTTCTCATAGAACCTTGTTCTTCGGCTGCGGTGCCGGAAGGGGTTGCGAGAAATGTAGTCGGGGAGCTCTTTGGTTTTTTCCGGGCAGTGTACCACGTCAAACGGAGTGCCCAGCGAGTCAATTGACTCCGCTGTTCTTTCGCCTTGTCAAGTCATAGAAGTGCTCAACTGTCAGCGTAAAGTGGCGGTCGTCCAGGTACAGTCGAAAACGTTTGACCACCTAGACTACGGCGAGGCACTCTTCTTCGTTGACGTGGTACCGGATTTGTGCAGTGTTGATACTCGCACTGGCATATCAGAGGATTTTATCGGTCCTGGCGTCTGTTCTTGGTATAGGTCATCGGCGATACTCTCAGGGTACACAGGAGGCCAATTTCAATTCCAAAGCGAATCATCGGGAAGCCACGCTCAGAAGACCGGTCTGTGCGTTCCAAACCATATCCAAGTCCTGGGGGTGGACCAGATCATTCTAGATCGAAAAAGCAACATGAAAATCCTGAGATCTCCTAGTACATAAACAATAAAGGTAGGTATTTATAAACATTTGTCCTTTCGCGTTGTAGTTTTGCCACTTTATGTTGACAATCTCACATTTTAATAAATATTATGACTTCTCATTCACCCTCGAGGCCAGAAGAGGATTATTAACCGACGAACAGCCGCGGCACATTAATATAATTACATAACAAGAATCGCACCCATAAACGTACTTTCCCTACTAAGGTTTATGTCTTGAAAAGCTAACTCATAGGCTAGTTACCTATCTTTGCTTATTACTTTGCATATTATGAGTACAGAGTTACAGACGTACTGAACGTAGTGGACAATATTGTCACTTCGGAGGGAAAAACAGAATTCAGGGTATTTGTCACAGACAGACCCTCTGACAGAGAAGAAAAGGGGTCGGCCTAGATATAATAAAAACAAAGTACGCTGGTCCCCCTTCTCACGTGTGTTTGTCCAGTTTTGTAACCACCCTGTTATAAACTATATGAAATGTGTACGCAATTTCGTTTTGGGAATAAAAACGTAAATTTGAGTAATAATTATCTTTTTATCTCCAAAACGCGCTAGTGTTGTAATTAAATGTATATTGCCTGGGTAAATAGATTTTTCGTCAACCTCTATTTAAATTTATTAATTATTATACACCTGTTAAAACTAATATTTTTATCAGAAAACCATTTTTTTACGGCAACACTTTTCAACTGCTTCAAGTTTTAGTTATAAAATCTGCAACTGACGATTTTCTCTGCCGTTTTACCATTTAAGATTAAATAAATGGAAAATGATGACTGATGAGGATATATAGTACCAATGTGTAGTGTTCATTTCCTGCTCCCTCTCCTAAATTGACATCTTTTGAGATTATTTTTAAATTGATACACTGCTGACTCAAAAAGATAACTTCGGATTAGCAAAGAATAAGAAGTTACCAACGGAGTTCACGATTTATTGGAACCTTGTGGTCACGAATGTGCGGAATAAAGGAGTTCTGCTGCCGGCATGTAGCGATGCGGCTATAGATCTAATATGATCAGTTTTTCAAAAACAGGCCATAGGCGTTTTGGGGCGAACTCTGAGATGGCACGAGATAAAAAAATACGGCTTTTACGTAAACAAAGATTTTGAAATTATTTATTCAGATACCTTTATATTGCAAAACCTTATCTATGAGCACTTGGCGATATAAACTAGCCACTCAGAGGTTAACGGTGCGCAACAAAGAAAAGGCGTGAGAATTTGATACCAAACAATCTACTGTGTGTGCCGGATAATTTTTCACATAAATAGTAGGCTGATATAAGTAAACCACGCACCTCCCAGTAACGAAATCTTCCGGTGATAAGCTGCATATCTATAGACTGCGACCCCCAAAAACAGCTCACTGTTCAAGAATTTGGTCGTTTGCACAAGTGCCCATTTTCGGGAAGCTGTAACTTCCAAGATGAGGTGAGTTCAGTTATTTACTTGCGTGTTTTTACGCTTTTTAGTTTTTTTCGATATGTTACGGGGATGGGGGTAGAACGAATTTGTACTAATTAGCGTTACGCTTACTACACTTTTGGTTTTACATTTCTTCACCAGAACAAGAGAAATAGGTTTCATGTTAAAAAGGCCAATTACGTTAGTTCATGCTGCTTCAAATGAAGTTAAATGGTACAGGTAGTAATGAGCAGTATTGCATCCTTTCAATGTTAATGAAAGTAGGGTAATTTGGGAGATTTGCATTTTTGAATTGTTTTCATTTTAATGAAGATTGTTGCAATTGGAAGTTTTTAAATTATACATACACATATATTAGGGTTTGAAGAACTACTTAGTTAATAATAATATTATTAATAATAATCCAAGCCGTGCAGATAATTATGTATCACTAACCAGCGTTTTGCTGAGTGAAAGCGTTTCAGACACTATGAAAATCAATAGCTTCCACTTCTTCCTTAACTAAAGTGGCCAACCATACGCGTTCTTTCTAAACACTCATGACTAGAGGGTTATGCTTTTTGTGTTTTGAGCAACTGCCCCATTTTTGAGACTTCCCCACGCTGATATTCCATGCATATTGCGAACAATCTGGCGTGAGTCCCACAGAACTCGCTGGGGTTGTTCTTCGTTCCGATCTAATTAAAGAAACGGCCATCCTTCCGGAAGCGCGCCTTAACAACCTAGGATGAGTTTTTATCTAGCCAACAAATCATATTCTAAATCTATAGGATTCTTAAATCTTTACGTGTCGCACCAATACACAGGAAAGTTATCCCTAATATGCCCTAAGAATCCTCCTCCTCGATTCTCGACTAAAATCGATGTCGATAGTTGGGGCTGTTGATTTAATTGTAGATATTGTTTGTCTATTTTTTTTATCTCTGTGTATACTTGACGTTTATAGACTTACGTTATCTGTTTCCCAAGCTCCCTGCACCCAATAAAAATAATTATCCGCTAGCGCATAATCTTATCACAGGATGTTAAAATTCGCTAATTACCATTAGCCTGGGAGAAACCATATACGACATCCACAGCGAATAACTGGATTCTGGATTATGATAAAAGGGTGGAAAGATTCTATGCGTACTTAGGCCTCAAATTCGGGCCCTTTGTACTCACTCCCTGACTATAGAGTCATCTCACCCCCCAACGTAAATCCCACTCCTGTGACGAACCTAAAGATGCTGTCAAGGAAGGCGGCTCTAAACGTAGCCATGTACCTACCTAGAGGTCATTTTACAGTGCCTGCAGAGCACCCTGTTGTCACTGGAGATTCTGATACTGAGCCTTTTTCTTAATTGTGCATTTTTGCACTAAGCGTTAACCAACTCTGATTGAAATACAGTAGGAAGTTTCCCTAGTGGTTGGAGGATATGGAAGTTACTGAATTGCCTGTTCCTTCCATTGCTTTTAGATCTATCCGTGAAGATGAATATGCCCCGTTGGGATGCAACATCCTCCATCAAGAAAGATGTGATCGTTTTTCCCTAATTGAGGGTCATTGTACGGTTGTGGTTCTGGGCCACCAGACAGTTGCTCCATTGCAGAGCATAGGTCTTATCAAGGCAGTGTACAGCTTTCGGGGATAGTCCCCAAAGTCTCCCAATCGCGCGGCGACTTTGGCAGAAAGCCCTACTTGCATTTTCGACTTTGAGCTATAATAAGTATGTTTGCTCCAATTCAGTTTTTTGTCAAGTGTAATTGGAGGTGTTTTAGAATAGCAGGGTAGTTCGAAGGCCATTTACCTTTCTTTTTCTTGTGAAAAGAACTAGTCCCGATTTTGTCGGGCTGATAGACCATTCTCTACAGGGCGGGCGGGCAATATATTACTAATTTGCTGTGTCCCACTGAAGAAATTCGTTTTTAGCGCGACCAACGAAAGTGGAGCGCATATGTCTTCACATTTCCATCCGTTTCTCTGTCGTTCCGTGCTATAGCTCTGTCCCCAGACCTCGTCGACTTCGGGTTTCTGTTATATGAAAGCTTATGCATTCCAGGTGTGCAACTAACAAAAATTAACTTTGGCATTCGTCACGTGTAATCGGTCAAAATTGTTATTTATGCATCAATTTTCTTGGAAAACTCAACTGCTTATTGCCCAAAAAATTGATCCATATGTATTTTTTGCGGCCAACATATCTTTGACAAAGGTAGATGACAATAACATCCAGTCCTGGTGAGTTATATGCTGAGAACGACTTCCCGCCCAGGTCACCCTCGTCATATCCACCATCTGACAGGCAACCACCCAATTCTCCGTGGGAATAGAGTCGGGTTACCTCTGATCAGTTGGTGTGTGGCGTTGTGGTAGATCCGGGAAAGTTTGTTAGAGTTTTATTTAGGCGGGATGCAAAGGAGGCGGATTCAATAGAGCTGCCAAAGCTCTTCACCCTCTCTGACGCCTCCTAATACCCTTCGTATAACGCCTTAGGATTTAGGTACATTTTGAGCCTCCCAACCGGCTATAGCTTTGCCTTATTGAACAGTTCGTCAAACTGAGTTTTCGGGCGCCGCGCTGCAACCCACCAAAGATGGTTACAGCCTATGGGGCGTCTTGGCAGTCCTCATATCTTCAAATGACTTGAAGTTGGTAAGAAGATTTACTTTGTCCTGTAAGTCGGCAAGTTTTTCTCCAATTTCAAGTTGATTTATTCTTTGATCTAACATACGCTTCTGGAGCGATTTACCAGTTCGTTATGTGGTCAGAGATCAGGGGAGCTTCAGGATAACATCTTGGGCTATTTTTTTAATGTTTCATAGTAGATGTATTTATTTGACTTTTACTTAAACCAGGATAAAAGATATAAAACCTGGAATCAACATTTACGTAATAATTTTGACAATATACTGACGCTTGCAAATGCCCAATTTTTTTTACAAATGGAATTATCTTTAAAACTACTCGTTTTTCGAATATTAACCATATAATAAAAAGGGCGTACAATTACGCGTAGAATTCAAAAATGCATTCAAATACAGGGGGTTCTATTTAAAAAATGTACCATTTTGGCGCCCTACTTTGTGGGCGTACTCTGTATAATTCCAAATATTTTTAAAATGTGGAGAATATTCAACCATATCATAATACAAAAGCACTCTATCGAAAAATCTCATCTTCAAGACATGAAGTTACTCCGCGCAATCGTTGACTCACCCTGTACAATTGTACATATACCGCTCCCTCTCAACCGAATGAGATGCAGCGAACTTCGTATTCTTGAAAACAATCGCACGACAATTTGTTTCGGGCGGATTCTATGAGAACTACAATCTAGGCTCTTGGAGGGGGAAAATTTCCATTTGCCCCTTCCTTGGATCTGCCCCTGTCAGAGATACTCCATGGTGCTAAGCTGAGATTAATTACAGTCTGGCTTCGTGATATCACAGTCACGCAAGTGTTGCAGCAGAAGAGCTGTAAAGTGACTAGGAGCACAAATACATGTTATAGGTTTGTCTTGCCGTGTAAGAAAACGGTTCCTTTATGTCCCCAAGACCAGAAACCTTTGGTCTAACAACTCAAGCAGTGCCTCAATATTCACAAACTCATCCCAGCCCAAAATCGGCCCGGGTGTGTTACAAATGCTGAAGCAAGCACTGACCACATGTTGCCTTGGCACAATGGACGGTGATGGTTCCATCGCTTCTTGCAGTATCTGGTGATGTTTTTGTGATGGTTGTACTGACGCATTCACCCACGTCAGAAGCCTTCACCCCCTGGCGATTAGGTTAGCCTGGTCCTCTTCCTCAATGCCGAAAACTATCAGCCTCCCGTGAAGTTCCCTCGGGACCCAGATGGCAACCTTGCGGCAGTCTTCCTGCAATACCTTTAGGTGTGCAGCTTCCCACTCAAACGAATGGTTGTTCTTGCACGATATTCTTAGGATCTCGCCCGAGTACCTCCAACCTCTAAACGTGGGTGCTAGTGTAGCGCCTTTTAGGGCGAACAGATGCTGGTCAAGAATCTTGGCACGGCGCTTTTGTACCATATATGTATAACTGGTTAGCTATTAACCTACCCAGAGATATCCATTGGTATCCAAGCTACGATTGCGCAGTGTTTCATGTAGTTGGGGCTTTGGTCTGTTCTTCTTTGTCCGCGGTTGGGTTGGTGTTGAGTCATCCGACCTTTGCCTCTTTTTCTCAGCGCGCCCACCTCTAATAACTTTGGTCGTATTTTTTGGCATGCTGGAAGATTGTTTGATCTGAGTTTACCTTTTGTCTTCTACACTTGTAAGTCAAGTATTACAAAAATGGTAAATGATGAATGATGAAGGGCTATTAGGGCAATCGAGCATCAACCTTTTATTCGTATTTGCACCATCATAAAAACTTTAGACAAAGATCGTCACTAACAGTGTTTTATTACAGAATAAACGACGTGGTCCTTATCAGCCTGCTTGCTATTTTTTGGGCAAATGTGGCATTTACCTTTAGCGTGTACAGAAGGGTGAAATATGATAATTCCTATGGAGGAGTTGCGAGTAATGGATTCGAGTGTGCGGAAATTGGAAGGTAACCGTACACTTTATTCGCACTTTATCTTCATACCATTTAATTTCAGCAATATTCTTAAAAAAGGAGGTTCAGCTGTTGATTCGGCTATTGCGACGATGGCGTGTGAGGGGGTTGCTATGCCTGCAAGTACAGGTATCGGCGGCGGATTCTTGATGACGATTTACATTAGGGAAAATCAGAGTTCGGTGACCCTAAATGCAAGGGAAGTCGCCCCATTGCACGCTTCTGAAAACATGTATAACAGTAACCCCGAATTATCTTACAAAGGTAACACCCAGTGGAGTGTTTTGGTATCCGAATGATTCGCTTGTAGGAGGACTGGCGGTTGCGGTTCCTGGAGAACTACGAGGATATTGGTATGCCCATAAGCGATTTGGGGTGTTGCCGTGGAAGGAGATCCTAGAACCGGTCATAGATTTGTGTAAGCAAGGAAATCGAGTTACTCCATATATGGAAAGGACGTACAAGAATAACGAATGGCAAATTCGAAAAGATCCAGGATTAAGGTGAGTCAACTTGAAAATTTACTCACGTAATGAATCATCCTAGGGCGGTCTTCATAAATCCTGAAACTAACTCAACCTACAAGGAGGGTGACTATATCAAACGTTTGAAGTTGGCTGAAACTCTAGAAATTATCGCAAGAGATGGAGCTAACGCTTTATATGACGGTGTTTTAACCCAACCGCTCCTGGAAGATATCAGGGAAGCAAACGGAATAATAACCGAAGAAGATTTAAGGACTTACAGGTAGCCTAACTCACACTTTCAATATTTCATTAACATTCCAGGCCCATTTGGATGGAGCCGTTGGTTTCGAAACTTTCTGGTGAGCAAACGCTGTACACAACGCCAATACCAGGCTCGGGACCAATTTTGACCTTTATATTAAATGTTTTAAATGGCTATCTCGACGAAACGGACATAAACAAGGTGGAAAACTGGCAAAAGATAGTTGAAACCTTTAAATACGCGTACGCGAAAAGATCGGAAATGGGAGACACCGATTTTGTAGATGTAAGGGAGCTGATGCGCAATCTAACGTCTCAGGAATACGCGAAAGCTATCCGAGAGAAAATAACCGTCGACAGAACTTTCTATACTCCAGACCATTATGGCGCAAGCTTCACGGCCTCAAAAGAGGATCATGGTACAGCTAATATGGTAATTTTGGCACCTAACGGCGATGCCGTATCGGTCACGGGAACAATTAATCAAGTCTTCGGTGCTGGAATATTGTCAAAAAGTACAGGTATAATATTAAACGATGAAATGGACGACTTCGCATCGCCCGGGATTACAAACCAATTTGGCGTACCTCCGTCACCAGCTAACTTTATTCGCCCAAAGAAACATCCACTATCGTCCATGTGCCCTAGCATCATAGTTAATAGAGACGGCGATGTTGTTTTGGCGATTGGTGCTGCTGGAGGAACCAAAATTACGACAGCCGTCGCGTTGACGATTATGCGCCATTTGTGGTTTGGAGAGGCTCTATCTCCCGCCATCGCGGCGTCTAGGCTACATCACCAACTGATGCCAATGCACATCGATCACGAATCGACGTTTGACGAGGTGAGTAGACGCACCACCACACGCAGTCATTAATGTCTCTGCAGGGTTTGCTACACAGTTTGAGAGACATCGGCCATAAGACTAATGAGGTACCCTCGGCATCGGGATTTGCTTCGGTCACCGCCATTTCAACAAACGGTAAGGTGTTGAATGGTAGCATAGACCCGCGACGAGGGGGCAGCGTGTCTTTGATGAGTACGACAACCAAAATATCTACCTTTCCGAACCAAATTTAGTCACTCTTAACATTAGCCGGTTTTGTCTTATTAAAATATTTTAACACTTTCACTCTTCGACTTTTATTTTAGTGTTTAGAACAGCCATGTGGGGAAGGGAAAGATTTGTTAGAATCAAAGAGTAACTTGTGACGTTCCGTGGTATATACAATATTTTTTGGTTTATTTGCAAAAGAAGCATTGCAAAAGAATACCAATTAAAATGACAGCAATTGGTCATTTAACTGATGGGCAGCAAGAAAAAGAATAACAAAACGTATCTGCAGTACAAGTAGTTTGTAAATAACGGCAACCATGTATTTGTTGTGGCCAGCATAGATTCCATCCGCAGACCTGCGCATGGGCGATTCTGCCCTTTTATGTCTAAGAATATGTGTACCAAATTCGGTTCCAATCGGCTCAGCTTTTTAATCGACAGATCGACAGACCGACCGACATCATCGAAACTTTGTTTAATCCTGTTTCCTGGTGCTCTAAAACGTGTATTTACGTAAAAAAGTGGGGGGTCGGTCTTTGTCCCAATGAAATATCTCCCTTACTAACGTGCGGGTGGTAAAAATGAAAGCGAGTAACTTTAGCGCATTTTCCGTGCATTTATCAGTACTTCCCAAAAGCTATGGCTATATTTTCTTTTACTAAATGTTGATATTGCGCCGCCGCTTGCGTCGAGTTTTTTCCTGACTCAGGTGCCCGAGCTATAAGGTACCGAATTCAAAAAGAACGAACTAAATATCTTAAAAACTGTGGGAGTAGTTAAGGCCTCGGACGGACGGACGCGCAGACAGACGGACAGAGAAAGTAACTGCACCTTAAGGTGCGTATATTTAACCAATTTTCCTTGAATTGATCAGTACTCGCCGAAAGGTTATATAGCAGGCTATTTATATGTACATACAAAGTATGTTTAAAATAAGCGATATGTTTGCCTTTACTAGAAGAATCTTTGGTTCGAATTTGAAAAAAATATCTAAAAGTAAGAAAATTGACTTTGCGCAGTGTACGCATGCCTTACTCACTCGCCAAGATTTTTCTTGCTTATGGTGCCAGAGTACCGAATACAAAAGGAACGGACTAAATATCTTGAAAACTGTGGGGAATACTCCTCAGGAAATGAAGATTTGATGACTCTGTAACACTTACTTCCGAGAAAAAGTAAACGATTTATCCTGTGGTGATGTTGGAGGGGGATTTCATACGCCCCATATCCCCAGGTGGTACGTACCCCTAAAGTATTTACGGCAATGATCATGCTTATGATTATTTTCGGGAGAGTGCCGTCAAATTTTCTTTTTTGTTACATATTCCAGGCAAGGGTCTAACGTTTTGGAAGCAGACGTAGCACCAGGGTGAATCGTCCTTAGGAAATAAGTACACTACCTTTAGGGAAAAGGTTTCTCCCGTGCTAGACCCCTCGGTGCTAAGTTCCCCTAAAATAGTTCCCGCATTCATCATGCTTATGATGTGGACTCCCGTCAAGTTTTTCTTCCTTGGGATATATTCAATGCACGTGAATTCTAAGGGCTTAATTTTCTGGAAGAAAACGTAGTACAGGAAGGTCTTGGGGGATCGAATACCCTTCCAGGGAAAACTATTACGAGAATCCTGAGTACTTTCAACATTTTGGGGGAAACGTAGCACTGGGAAGAATACTCTTTTGGAAATGAAGATTTGATGACTGTCACGCTAGCTTTCGGGAAAAGGAAATCGATTTCTCCTGTGCCAACTTAACCAAAAATATAGTTCCAATTGTAACGAGACTTCCGTATGCACGGAAACTTGTATGGGAATTTTTAAATTGATAAGGATACGTAAGCTAAATTTAGGTATAAATGTAATCGTGTGTTTTTGCATTGCAAGGAAATATCTGTTTCAATAAAATTAAGCTACCCAAGTTGGTATATTATTTAACCTTGAGGAAGCTAAAAGGGAATTAGCAATCTGTAGTAATGGTCGTGGTTAGAAATGCAATCTAAATAGAATAGGATCATAAATACTGCTTTACGTATAGATGTATATTCGGAAGGAGGTAATTAAATGATTTTTTTTTTGAGTTGGATCCATCGTTCCTCGAAATGGGGGTTGAAATATATTATATATTCTGGTAAAAGATCTACGCCAAACTTATAAACGCTCCGTTGTAGTGAGATAAGGTAAACATAATTACAGGAGATACTGAGAGAGGGGATATAAATATAAGTGAATTCGTATGAAAAGTTAAATGATTCCACGGGTAACATCAGACCCCGAATCTGCGGTAGACATCTTGCGAACTGTGCATTTGTAAGCGAATCGTTTTCGCGGAGACACCTATAAGAACGAAAATTATACCGAAAACCAAGAATCATCTCTATAGAGCTGTAGCAACCATCCAGTCTGTCCAGCCATAGGCATCCCTCATCTGTCCTCTTGTTATTTGTCATCATTTTTTTGTGTAGAGCTCTTCTAAACGTGAATGCCCTTTGTAGGAAGTTCCTAGTCAATGGGTAGTGCAGTGGAGGCGAAAAATATGCGGGCGAATTTTTGGACGGCAAATTTTCTCGAAGATAATTTACCTTTTAAGGGTGAATTTACCGAGGCATACCACTTATTTCCAGGGCGCGTTTCTTCTTGGCATGGTCATAAATTCTTGTATATATGAGTTTCGTGGAGCAAGTTCCTCGACTATCAAGTGCGTAGGTTTATGGAGAATATATTCCGGAGGCGACTACCTTGATCGTGAATTTATCTAGAAGCAGAATGCTTAAAAATTTAGGTACATCCGCTAGGGTCGAACTATTCTGAACTTAAATTTATTGTAGCAATTTCCAGGCTAGTAGGGGCGAAAATTCTAGTCAAACTAGAACTAGACTATTTTGTTAATAAAAAATCCGATACTACTGAACACCGAATGATCTTCGAGATCAGACAGACAAAACTATAAACGGCCTCGAAAAAAATTGCTGACGATTTTTACCTTATATGTGTCAGAATTGCAAAATTAATACTTATTTACTCAACCAATTGGTTATCTAAATTATTATCGCACGATTGTGGGCTATCGACAACGAGAACAATGGTTACGTTGCGCGATTACAATGGATCCCACGCATTGCGTACCTACAAAACGGTAACTGAGATTTCAGATGAAAATATCTATCGGTTGTAATTGTCTTCAAATACCCTGAACTGTTATTCTTTCTTGGTGCATTTGAGTTTCATGTATTTTCATTTATGGGGAACTGGAAAATTTGTCCGATACGTATTTTCGCACCATAAGGGCGTTGTGAGCGGGTGCACCATCTTGTTGAAGAGGCTGGTGGTGCTTATTCAAGGGCAATTCGTGCATATTTCCTTTGCACTTTGGCTCTCGCGCATGTCATCCTCAAGAAATCCGATGAACAGTTTCAAGAATTCTTCCATTGGTACCCTATTCTCTCTCGCTGTCCGATGCAGTCGGAATGAGGAAGATAACCAAGTCAGTGTTATATGGCTTCTTTACACGACTGCATGAGGTAAACTTAGGAAGATCAGCTTTTGTTATCGATGGCGGATTTCTTTTCCACGAGTTGTGTGGAAGAATCAAATAAAAAAGACAATATAACCAAAGTGTTGTTTAATGGTTACCAAGAAGACCTGCTCACCAAGAGGTGGAAAGGGAACCACGCCATCAAAATTTGATCCTAACAGCTTCAAACTGGGAGACAACACCAGAAGGCCACTCATACTTATCTACACCATAAGTGGATACGACACTACTTCAGCCCTATTCTGGCAGGGTAAGACAAAGGTGGGCAAGGTATTGATTAATGTAAATGTCATGAAATTAAACCTTTTTCCGAGCATGAGCTATTATCGAAGCTGACTTACGGTTTTTTACAACCGTCTACGGAGGTAAGGCAGGAAATAATTTAGATAAAATGAGATTTGGCCTGTTTTCCAAAGCCGTCGTAAAATCCCCATTCCTACCACCAACATCCGAAGCAGCTCGCTAACATTGCTTGAGAATTTACCTACAAATGTGATTCGGACATCAAATGGATCCACTCCTCTGGGGAAGGCAGACTTCAAAGTTTGGTCTTAACCCCGTTTCTACCTTCAAGAAACCAGCTCCACAGTTTCTTCTTTCCACAAGTGCAACAAGGGGTGTGCAGGTGGTTGTGAGTGTCGCAAGGGGGAGAGGGGCTAGGATAGATATATTGGGCAACAACAAAACCTTTTGTAAGATTTAAATCCTATTTATTCTACTGGCCTAAAGCTGCAGTTTCGTACGTTTATACGATCCGCACGTCAGTAAGGGAGGTATTAGGGTAACAAAAATACCCCCCCCCCTCACTTTTTGATGGAAATACACGTTTTGAAGCACCAGGTGTCCTAATCAAATAAAATATCGATGATGTCCTTCTGTCGGTTCATCCGTACTCTCATTTCCGGCTTAACGGCTGAACCAATTGCAACCAAATCTGGTAAACATATTCTTAGACATAAAGGGAAGAGCTGAAAAGCTTTTGGACAGAATCGCGCATTCGCAAGTGTATCTCATTTCCGACTAAAGAGCTGAACTGATTGGAACAAACTTTGGTACACATATTCATAGACATACAAGGGCAGAATCGCCGATACACATGTGTGTGGGTGATATCTGTGCTAGCCACAGCCAATTTTTTAATTTACATCTACTAATCAGAGTGAGATTTTTATCTGCGACTACTCTATAATAGAATTATTTTTGCCTTGGTGCGCAGGGCGAACTTAAATTTTCCAAAATCCATAACTTTCCTTCTTCTTCTTGGTGGTTCGTCTTGTTATGAATTAATCATACGATTCCAGTGCGCATGCTTTGAGGTCACTAACTCTGCTACCAAAAATCTTAAATTTTGGACCGCTTTTGAAGTCATCGTAGCATCACCTCTTTATAGATCATGATAGTCATAGTGTATGAAATTCGCATTTAATGGCAACGTATCGCCAAGGCTCGTTTCGTAATTCTCATAGTATCTTAATAGCCGTCATTAAATGCTCATTGCATAATATACTATTGGAGCAGAGCTAAACTTCTCACATTTCTGAACCGCAAATTGAAATTCCACCCACACCTTCAGACTGTTCGGGCTCTTATCTGATGGATCATTAAGCTTCTCAGAGTGGACAGTCCAATTTGCGATTAACCGCAAATTGACTGGGGTATGATTACGGTAGGTATAGCAAAATACCGATTAGATTATTAAATATTAATTAACCTTTCTTTAACCCACGCTATCGATACGCTTGGATTTATATACCCCGACCGTAGACGTATTCGCGAAGAACGTGAAGATGAGGTAAGTAAAGCGGGTAGAACTGCGCTGTAGCTATAATCTTGTTTTCAGTTTTCAACTGTGGTTGCTACCTGTTCTTCTAACACTCCCGGAAGCTTTCGGCTTGCGAGAATGCAGTTTTCCATGTGGCGGTGTCGTGAGTAACGCTCCTCACTGTGGAGCAGTTGGAAGGTGAAAATCTGCTAATAGGTTTCGAGATCTTATGAAAAATTCTTAGGGATCTAATGGCTCAGGGTGGGTCGGCCGTCGACGCAGCCATCGGTACGCTGCTGTGCGAGGGAGTCGCAATTCCGCATTGCATGGGAATCGGGGGAGGATTCTTGATGACAGTTTATGATCGCGAAACGAAAACGGTGCATACACTAAACGCCAGGGAGACGGCACCTGCAGCCGCAACTGTTAATATGTTCGGAGGGAACGCCGCGTTGGCATCCAAGGGTAGTAAAACGCCGACAAACTATCTTCGATTGTGTTGTCTCCTTTATAGGTGGTTTGTCCGTTGCGGTACCCGGCGAAATTCGTGGGTACTGGGAAGCTCACCAACGGTATGGAAAACTACCATGGGCAGAATTATTTAAGCCATCAATTAAGTTTGCGAGGCACGGATATGAAGTTACTCCTTTCATGGCAAGTGTTTTTAAACAGGAAGAGGCACAACTACAAGGCGACGTTGGATTACGGTAAGCAATTAACGCGAGTTTTTCAGCTTTGTCATAACAACATTTTAGAGACATATTCATCAACCCAAAAACTAACAAACCGTATACGGTTGGGCAATTTATACGGAACGAAAAATTGGCCGAAACGCTAGAAATTGTTGCCGAACAGGGAGAAAGTGCTTTGTATGACGGAGTTCTTACTAAAGCATTTGTGGAAGACATCCAGAACTTAGGCGGTATTATTACAGAAGAAGACATGAGGAGTTACAGGTGCGCACTCTTTTGTCTGGTAGCCCAGAGAAATTATATGATTTTAGACCACTTTGGGGCGCTCCCATCTCCACTACTTTACCGAATCAGCACACATTGTACAGCGTAGCGCCTCCTGGTTCGGGGGCCATCTTAATTCTCATACTCAATATGCTGAATGGTTTGCTTGACGTAAAAAACATCGAAACCGTAGAAAATTGGCACAGAATTATCGAAAGTTTCAAATTTGGGTACGGCAGGCGTACTGAAATGGGAGATCCTAACTTTGTGCCGTCAATGAAGAGCGTAAGTATCCGACTCATAACTTTGCTCTATTTTCCGGTTACATTTTCAGTTTATCAGCAATATAACATCCAAGGAAACCGCAGCGTTTCTCCGAAGTCAAATTTCCGATGATACCACCTTCGGTAATCCGGTTCATTACGGTGCAAAGGTACAGCAGGTAAATATTCACGGTACTGCGAATATGGTCGTCATGGGGTCAAATGGTGATGCGGTAGCCGTTACGAGTACGATCAACCAGAAGTAAGTACCAAGCGCGCTAACAGGTTTATATTTGTACCACGCAGCTTTGGAGCCGGAAGAGTATCACTAAGTACTGGAATAATCTTAAATGACGAAATGGACGATTTTTCTGCACCTAACGTAACAAACTATTACGGGATGCCTCCCTGCGAGGCAAACTTCATTACTCCAGGTAAACGTCCGGTATCTTCCATGGCTCCCTCAATTGTATTAGACAAACATGGAGAAGTCGCGCTGGTTGTCGGAGCTGCGGGCGGTACCAAGATCACACTTACTACAGCACTTGTACGTAGCACATCATCTTCACAGGATCTTTGTACGAAACACTTTAGGTCACCTTGAGAAATATATTTTTCAAAGAATCCGTTCCTAAGGCCGTTGCATCCAAACGTCTTCTACACCAACTCTTCCCAATGCACATAATGGCCGAACCAGGATTCAATGAAGTAGGGATTGTGTGATTTCATACTATCTAAGGCTCTTTTTCAGGACATTCTGGAAGGCCTAGCCGCTCTAGGTCATATAATTAAAGAATCGAAACCCGATGGGTTCTCAGCGGTAACCGCAATTGGAAAACGAAACGGGAAAGTGAAAGGTAGTTTTGATCCTAGACGTGGAGGACAGGTTTCCTTAATATAGATGCTCATGATGTGAAATGAAACGTTGCTTCGAATAAAAATATTAGTATATCACCAAATATTGTAGTCTAATTGATGAAATCTTTTGAAACGTTAAGGGGAATATAACATTTTGTTGTAATTCTTGAGTTACCTAACAGTCCAATAATCTAAGTCAACACTTAGCTGCATTGCAATGTCCTTTCTTGGGAAATTTATTAACATTACATTCTTAGAAAGGCAATATCTGCCAATGAAATCAAAGAACAACTTTGGTTTTACCACAATTTATCCAACTAACCTACGACTCTTCTGGTTTACTCGTATGCATTCTTTTGATACAGAAGGAAACTCTTCACGAAAGTGCATGAATTATTTGACACAATTAGTCTTTATGGTACACCGTGTTTAAGGCTACATTTTTGACCTGCCTAATGGTATATTTTTCAACAATAATAGGAACAAATAAAATTGTTGCCGAAATGGAAAGTGGGAACAAACTATATTTACAATCCGATCCCTTCCAGAACACCTGGGCGTCGGTGATAACCATCAGGACTTTGCCGGGTCGGTCTGCGTGGTAACCCCGGAGCTTCATCTGTATCATTCAAACTCATCCATTCCTCCTGGAATGCCGCGCCACCTTCTCGTGTAATTCGACATCTCATTTCGTGCACTCCAAGTGAGTCACATGGCACATTTGCATTATAACTCGTACGCATCCTCGTCTGCAGCGACATTCTCCCACTGATGGTATATGCGGGATACCTTTGGCTGGGAGGCTAGCCGTTCTTAATTACACGACACGTACAAAGTCCCGACCACTTCATCTTCCACGAACTTCCAGTCTCGTCCAGCTCCGCACTCAAGGATCGCGACGTCGGTTCTTCGAGCCAGAAGACGTCGGGCAGGCCTTTGACCAGGTGTTCGATTTTATTAAGCCTTTTGCAAAGCCAGGGTTTTCCAGGACGGTCGACGTCAGAAGTTCTCCCAGGCGCTTTAGATTTTCTAACTTCTTCGACGCTCTACAGAGCACGCAGTCTAGCTCGGTTAGGAACGCCCCAGTTGTAATAATAATAATAATAAAGTTACACGGCCTAGCACAGCTAAAAAACACAATACTCTTTCCTCTCAGAAACACACCTCGTTATCACAACCCACTCGTACTCAACGCAAACGCAGCAACCTTAACAGTACTAGAGGCTCACAAAATACCGTAATGTCTCCACCAATAATGCGAGCAACAACACAAACACAACCTCTAGAACAAAGAAACACCATAAATACAAGTAACGCAACTTGCACTACAAAGACAGGTCCACCCAATAAAGTTACACGTCCTAGCACAGTTAAAAAAACACAAAACTCCTTCTTCACAGAAACACACCACATTATCACAACCCACTCGTATTCAACCGAAATGCGAAAACCTTAACAGAACTACATGCTCACAACATAATGTAATATCTCCACCAAAAACCCAAGCAACCACACAAATACAACCTCAAGAACAAAGAAACACCATAAATACAATTAAAAAACACAAAACTCCTTCTTCACATAAACACACCACGTTATCACAACCCACTCGTATACAACCCAAACGCAAAGCCAAAGAAACACTTACACAATAAACTCCATTTAATAAAATTACAGGAATTATTATAATGATTTTTTTTTGTTTTGTTTTCCTCTTTCCTGATAGCGTTGGCTATTGTGCCCATCAATAGGTATGTTGGTAAGTATGAATTACATACTATCCCTAGATTTCCAATGTACGTGTGTGATTTTTTTTTAAGGACCCTACATAACAGACACAGACACAGACACTAATCGTTACTTGATTTTAATCCGTGCGATTAGTTAACCAGGCTAGACCTGAGTTCTCACAAGAAACACCGACCATAATAATAATAATAATAATAATAACTGATCGTTACTTGATTTTAATCCGTGCGATTAGTTAACCAGGCTAGACCTGAGTTCTCACAAGAAACACCGACCATAATAATACACAATAAACTCTATTTAATAAAATTACAGGAATTATTATAATGATATTTTTGTTTTGTTTTCTTCTTTCCTGATAGCGTTGACTATTGTGGCCATTAATAGCTATGTTGGTAAGTATGAATTACATACTATCCGTAGATTTCCAATGCGAGTGTGTGAATATATTTTATTTTTTTTTTTTTTCTTTAGAACCCTACATAACTTCACCAGACACAGACACAGACACTAATCGTTACTTGATTTTAATCCGTGCGATTAGTTAACCAGGCTAGACCTGAGTTCTCACAAGAAACACCGATAATAATAATAATGGTTCCAATTTATACGAGGTTGCGATTGGTATTTCATTCGATCGTGCTTGTAGATATATTCTAATTTCCATATTTTCCAAAAATCGTATCTCATACGATCGATGAGTTGAAACTGATCTAGTCTACTAATATTAATAACACTATAGTCGTGTGCCGGAAATTGAGTCCAATGGCCTAAGGTTCAAAAATGCATTGGGGTCAAAATGGTGGGTTCAGACGGATCAGAACTAAGAACACATACAGGGCGATTACATTTGGACTAATAGAGTAATTGAGTTGGTGAGTGATTGTGTACGGTAGGTTTTTACAAATCGCACGTTTGCTTCCTACAACCCATCCATACGTGGTGCCAAGGGCGGTATCAATTTCTACTGAATTTCCGGTTTGATAGTTCATTTCAGACAGCATCATTATATGATCGAATAATTGCCTTTCTTGAGCGATACAAGTTACTTCTTGATGAACAACACGGCTTTAGAAGGAATCACTCCACGACAACAGCAGTAGCATCCATACTTAATAAAGTGTACACAAACTTGGATAAGGGTAACATCGTGTTAGCTCTATTTGTTGATTTAAAAAAAGCTTTCGACTTAGTCGATCACCAGATTTTATTAAATAAAGTTTTAACGTTAGGTTTAAGGGGAAATTGTTTTAACTTAATTAAATCCTACTTATGTAATAGGAAACAATATGTTCACTATTTAGATAGCAGTTCGCAGTGCTTAGATGTAGAAATGGGGGTACCGCAAGGGAGCGTGTTGGGGCCCTTATTATTTCTTCTATATATTAATGACATTACAAAATACATAAACGGTGACTTTTGTCTGTTTGCCCATGATCTAACGGTACTGTCCTGTGACAATACTCATAATGTGGCTTTAAATAATCTAAATGCTTGTCTTACTAAGTTAATGTCATATTTAATTACCAACAAGCTAATCTTGAGTAGTGATAAAACACGTGTAATGCAAATCTACCCTAAAAAAGTGCAATATATTGCAAGTACTCTGATGAGAGTACAACAAAGATCCATTAGGCAAGAAACATTGTACAAACTACTAGGCTGTAACATTGATTGTTCTCTAAGCTGGAGAGAGCACGTTGATATGGTGTGCAATAAAATAACGTCTAATTGCTTTGCTCTTAAACGTCTGTCATATATTTCAAATGTTAATGTAGCTAAAAATTTTTACCACTCCAATGTTGAGTCTATCATGCGCTACTGTGTCATTTTCTGGGGTGACAGTATACATAGCAAACGAGTCTTTGTGATGCAGAAAAGAGCAATCAGATACATGTTTAATTTAAGTAGGGACACATAATGCCGTAGTACTTTTATATCTAACGCTTTGTTAACTTTTCCGTGTATCTATATATTTGAACTGTTGAAATTTGTTAAATGCAATATTAACCAATTTCCCTCTTTAAATACATACCATAACTATAATACTAGACGAGGTATCGAATTGTCGTATACGAAACATCGAATAGAACTATTTAAAATGAATCCCTATTATGCTGGTGTGGTTTTATATAACAAATTACCGCTGAATCTTAGAAATTTTCCGTTCAGGCGTTTTAGTTTAACACTCAAAAAATTTTTAACTGTAAATTGTTTCTATAGTGTTAATGAATTTATGTCTTATGTTAATATTGATTTAGAACCTTAAATTTTGTTGTAGTTGTATGTATAATCATTTTGTTTGGCCTTTGACTTGTCCTATATCCGTTTAGGATCTTTTGGATAAATATATTATTATTATTATTATTATTATTATTATCCTTGAGAGAAGATTAATTTGCATAGTTCGTTTAAGCATTCCCTAGCGCCTATGAAATCTGTCCTGATAAGTGACGCTAATAAGCCCCCCAGGTATGGTATCATGAAATTGATAGAAATGGATAAAGAGCACCTTAATATCACGTTTTCAACTAAAAAATTTGCGGAAGAAGCCCTAAATTTTCCACAATCTTAATTAAAAGTTCATTTCATTTTCTTGAAATCTGGTGTTATTTTACGTTTATTTCGTCATTTGTAAGTTGGCGAAACTGAAAAATGTTATGTGACAGCTTTCTTTATTAAATTTATACAAAGGTGACAATTAATTTTTGTAGGAGGTTTTGTTAACTTCGTCTACTAAATTGAAATATGCTTGGTTTAACGTGTATACTAACACTTAATGCAATAAAAGTAGTATAACAGGTATAATATACAATACAATTGTAGGTTTTGTTCGACTTCGATGACACCAAATAACTTGTGGATACAATTTAATAACACCACTTTTTGTAGCCTATACAGTGTAACCCCTTGAATGCATTAGGGGAGAGGAATGTCGTAGAGACGGTTACATATAGCATTTGACAAAGATCAACTTCTCTGTATCGATCACTGAGAGGGGAAATCCGAGCACTTCCTGCATGTTTGATATACCAATTAGGATCCACCCCCTTATACGGTCGAGAAGGGAAGGAATATCTCTCGCATTTTCCACGGATCGCCTCTACGTTAGCGATCATCGATTAACCTGGAACGCCTTTTCCTTATGAATCGCTGCTTAGCATCCACCGCCTTATACAGTCGAGAGGGCAAGGAATATCTCATGTAGAGCACTACTTATTGCTATTATGGTATAATTAAAACCATATGTTAATAGTTGTATATCTTTGTTTAACGTTTATTAAATCGTGAAAAAATAACATTCAGGGATGTTAACAACACCACTATCAACTGAAAAACAATCATGAAATTT